GAATCTGCGCATCATGTACATCTGGCTCTTCTGCTGCTGCATGGGTGTTGAGATTACCTCTGGTTTCGACTCTCAGCTCATCGGCACACTTCAGTTTTCCGTTCCGTTCAACACATGTAAGTCAAAACTGTTGCAGCTTTAGATCCACAAGCTGACAGTCTCAGATTTCGGAGAAGGCTACAAGGACTCAGATGGCGAAGCCAGCATCGAACCCAAAATCATCGGTTTCATGTCCTCGTGCTACCAGCTCGGTTCCATTCTTGCAGTTCCGGTCGCACCCTGGTTGAGCCAAAAGTACGGTAGACGCATGTCTATCTTCGTTGGTTCCGTCATTATGGTCATCGGCGCTTTGTTGCAAGGTTTTGCTCAGCACAGTACGTATACAACCCATCCACCTACACAGTGGCGGCGTATCTAACGCATTATCAGTTGGGATGTACATCATCGCACGTATGCTGCTTGGTTTCGGTATCCTCTTCGCCATCGTCTCCGGATCTTCCCTGATCGGAGAGTTGGCTTACCCCAAGGAACGCCCATTCATGACCTCGCTCTTCAACGCATCGTACTTCATCGGATCCATCCTTGCCGCTGCCATCTCAATCAAGACAACGGAGATGGTTGGAAACTGGGGCTGGCGAGCACCATCTCTGCTGCAGATCTGCCCGTCCATCCTCCAGATTTGCACTGTTTTGTACGTTCCTCCGAACGATTTTAGAGTTCGGCACTGACTTTACTAGCCTGCTACCCGAGAGCCCACGTTGGCTTGTCAGCCGTGATCGCGACGATGAAGCTTTCGCCGTTTTGACCAAATACCATGCCGAAGGCGACGCCAACTCCATCCTCGTACAAGCCGAGATGGCCCAGATCCGATCCACAATCAAACTCGAGATGGAGAACTCAAGCCGCTCGTGGATGGACATGGTTCGTACACCTGGTATGCGACGCCGTGTCTTCATCTCTTGCTTCCTCGGTCTCTTCACCCAGATGAGCGGAAACACTTTGATCTCGTACTACCAAAATCTTCTATTCAAGATGATGGGATACACCACCAAGTACGCCAAGACGCGCATCAACATCGCCAACCAATGCTGGAGTTTGATCAACGGTGTCACTATCGCTCTCGTCGTCACTCGCTTCCGCCGTCGCTGGATGTTCATGCTTTCCGCTGGATCCATGACCATGGTCTTCATGGCCATGACCATCGCTTTCCAGCGTCTCCAAGTCGCCGATGCCAATGGCACCAAGAACCAGGCTGCGCAAATCGCCTCGCTCGTCTTCTTCTTCGCATACTCGCCCTGCTACAACATCGGTAACAACTCGCTCACATACACCTACCTCGTCGAACTCTTCCCCTACGCCCAGCGTACCATGGGTATCGGTGTCGAGCAAATGTTCGGCAAGCTCGCCGGATTCTTCTCCGTCTACGTCAACCCTATCGCTCTTGACGCGATTCAGTGGAAGTACTTTGCCATTTACTGCGGATGGATCACATTCGAGTTCTGCTTCGTCTACCTCATGTACCCTGAGACGTACAACCGCACGCTCGAGGAGCTTGCTTTCCGTAAGTACATGACGAAGACGACTTATATCGAGCTACCATTAACTTGTTCGCAGTGTTCGAAGACAAGGAGTTTGCCGACGAGGCTGTCAGAGCTGTCGAGAAGACCGTCAACCACGGCCACGACGACGGAACGGTTACCGAGCACGGCAAGATGGAGACCACTACCATCGAGCGCACTGCTTAACCCGTGTCTTGTCAATAGTTTGTCGCTGTCCATCACTCTTCGCTACATAGTGTACGCGCCTGAAGCTATTGTTGCTTCGGTGAATCTAAACAAGTTTTTGCGTCCACGATTATGCCGATTGCTTAATGTTGATGTCCATTACCTTTTTTTATCACGCTTTCCAGGAAATGCGCGTCCATCTAACAGTATTAAAAGAACCAGCATGATAAAAACTGATGTAGGTAGCGCTATGGTTGCAACAAGCATTCCAAGGTTGGTGGCGGAACTCAGGTCTTGACGCCACGGAATTTCGATTCGCCGCGCCACACTAAGCTCATCAAGCACACGCCACCCGCCATCTCAACCTTGGACTTCATCGTCCCTCATTTTCACCTTTTTCATTGTCCTTTGTTTGCTCATGTCATTTTTTTCCGGACATGGCATGACCCTCACCATTCTCTTCACTCTACCATTTCACACGTCGATTTCATCTTCTTCCGTATTCTCCTCGGTCCTGACTCGTACATTACTCTCCAGCTCGGCGAGTACAAAATCTTCGTCATGATCAGCTAGCTCTCTTTCACCGATGTCTAGATGCGCTTTCTCTGGGTCTACAGGTCTTCCTTTGAACTCTTTGCCTTTCCCTCGCCTTGCGCTGTGATGCATGTTCTCTTCTTCTTGTGCTCTGAGAGCGTCGAGATCTTTGAGCCGTTGGCTGAAACGCGTAGTTCGTGCAGACGGCTTCGTTTTGGTCTTGGGTGAAGGCATGTCTGGGGTTTTCTCAGCCACCGTGTTATCCCTCGCTTCGTCGATGCGCGTTGAAATGTCTGTGTGGGTTTCAGTCGAACTTGCAGACTGAGCTACATCAGAATCGTCTTTTTCTGAGTCCACTTCAGATCCGGCATCTCCAGGGCTCTCATCGTCTTGGTCCTCATCTTCGAAATTCTCGTCGTTCGTATCGCCTTCACCGTCACTATCCGAGTCGCTGGTAGTACCGTAGAGCACGTGTTCTACTGCTCTGAACTCTATCCTCATTCTGTGAAAGTACCATCGATTCGCATCGGCGTCGTGCTTCTTATCGATCCTTGTCTTCCAGCCCACCATCGCATCACGGAATGTTGTGTAAACAGCATCGGTGCGGTCTACAATGAGTTCTGTATTCTCCAGAGCGTAGAGGAGGTGCGCAACGGTCTCTTTGATCGGTTTGGTAGTGCAATTTTTGTGGTAAAGATTGAAAGCTTCTATATCTCGTCTAAAGTCAATCGGTGGAGTAGGTTGCGTGAAGGTAGACATCTGAACAAGCTTGTATAGATCTTACACCTCTTCAAGAAAGTTATGGGGATTGCTCAGCTAAATAGAAACAAGGCTATGTATGAGGATAAGGTCAACATGTTTGCTGCTTACAAGACTTCAAAGGTCGTCAAAGCCGCACATATCGTGAACAATGAGCACATCAAAGTTCAATGCATAGCACCTCCGAATGTCGCATTCAACTAGTAGCCAGAAAAATAAGTATTGCAATGATGTAACGAGAAGCTCAGACCGAGCAGCACAGAATGCAAACGAAACTGGCGGTTACCATGGGGACGTGCCCAGGTGAAGAGAGCCAACTCTACCTTTGCAAATTGCGCGTCGTCAAGCGACCTCCACAACAGCCTCACGCCTGCCTCAAAATTTCTTGAAATTTTGACGCTCACATACTAATCTGATCATCTTCAGACTCTCGCCTCGCCGATCCAATATCATCATGATGGATCTAGCATCCCAACTTCACGAGCAATTCCGCCTCTGCGGAGGGCAGACGTTCCTGCCTGAGAACGAGATCGAGACCACCTTCGCGGTGTTGTACGGTGCGTATTCTCTGAGTATTCGACATTTGCCTTGTCTGCACACTAACATCAAGTTCCAGGCGAGTCCACCGAGAAGGACCGAAGCGACTTCGACCTGCTGTTCCGCGGTCTGAACCAGGACATCTGGGACCTGCAGCACGAGCTGTCGGTGAACACAGTTGGGTGGTGGTGGGCCGGGGTCGTAGCATCCCGTCTGTACGACCGCCTGAACGGGTTCATGGACAAGAGGGTCAGGGCATTGGCGGATGGCAGCCCCATCCTCGTCAAGGGCTTGCCTCCGACCATGCCAGGTCCGATGCTGTCGAAGTGGGCGAGCGACTACGTCGCCAACTCCCCTGCACCCTCCGCGCCTCTTTCCGCAACACCTCGGAGAAGCAGGATAATTGCCGGGGAGACGAAGACTCGTCGCACGGCCCGCATCCGTCGTGAGAAGCGCGAGCGTAAGGCAGCCGCTCTGGCTAAGGGTGGTGCATAGTACGCTGGTGGATGGCGTTGGCGACTACATGTCGGCCTCAGGATCAGGATACCCGAGCTGTGTAGATGATAAGTACACTACGTAGTCCTATACCATACCCGGACTTACCTCACTGTCCGAGGTCAAGCATTCTCATGTGCTTCCCCATCTTTCCTCGCTTTTCTCAACCTAATGTACTCCTCCAGTGTAATCTTCCGCACCACTGGAGTGGTTACATCCTCACTGGCGGGAACATTCGTCGTAGTGACATCGCTGCCTGGCACTGACTTCATAGCCATACTCGCAGATGGTATAGCGCGGGGCGCTGATGTCGTATCCGGGGTCGGTCCTGCAGTGATCGTCCGCTCACCGTCGCTGTCATGGATTATAACAGGCCCGCTCACATTGAGGGGGATGTCTGTTGCATGAGCCTTTGTAGAGAACAAAACCAGTCGTCTCAATGTTAGCATGGTCCTCGCTACCTCTTGCTCTTGCTCGGTGTGACGTTCGCCTGTTCGATCAGGCCTACCAATGCGGTGATCGACCCATCCCATGCGACTTAAACTTTGATGAGGCCTGGTAGTAGTAGCAGTGTCTTGCTGACAGCGATTTGAGATCGTGATAGTGGGAGTATTTAGTGGATTATCCGACATCTCGCCAACTTTGTAGATTGAATGGAAGAGCTCTATAGTTCATTGAGGGCTAGCCGAGTCAAAGTGATGGAGAGAATATGGCTGTTCAAGCAACTATATTACAAAGATTGTCTCGGCTTACGACGGGCTATATTCACCCTACAATTAGGCAGATTATTAAAATCAGCGTGAATGAGCAACTAATGGAAGATTATCTGTAGTGGATGGCCGCCTGATTTGCAGTGCGTGAATTGAGTCACTGCTTACTAGGTTCAAGAAGGTATGTGCACAAAAATATTCCCTAGCAGGATTTGGGCATCTTCTCGTCTTCGAGAAAGGTCTACTCCTTCCATTCATCAACACCCCAAAACTCGCTCCACATATCCTCTTGCTCCATAGCCATCTCTACGTCTTGCTGTGTTCGCGCATGTTCGAGTTCCATTTCTCTGACCCTATCGTTTGCAGCATTCTCCTTCGGCCTACTACCAAAACCTTTGTAGCTCTTATGGCCGAAAGTCTTCTCACCAGCAAGATCAGCCGGAAAGGCCTTAGGACGACTCGGAGGCTTCAAGAGTGCGTCAAGTTCTTTAGCTTGAAGTCCGGAAGGGCTGTCGTACTTAAATTTGAAGTCATCTTCCGCGGATGGCATGAAACCTTCGCCCTCATCCAATTTCAAGGGCTCAGGTGCTGGTTGCTCAGATTCGATGGTCTTTGAGCACAAATCTCTACTTCCGGGAGCAGCGGAAGTCTTATTTCGTGTCGAACGACGAAGGGGTGGATCCTCGCGCGTGTTCTCTTCATTAGCCGAGTGGGTCGACTTCAAAGTCCTTCCAAAAGCGGACGGATTCATGAGCCTCTGGACAAAATCCATGCCCTCAGGATCACCAGTGATATCGCTGTTTGCCATCTCCCTCAGGATGAATGCAGCAGTGAAATCATCGTTATCCACATCATTAGCAAGTGTGCTGCGCATAGCGCTTTCTTGCTCACCTTGAACAGGGTGTATGTAGCCTTCCTGTCGCTCGACCTCGGCTAAATATAGGAGTTGCCGTTGACGTTCGAGGTCCTTAGCTTGCTCAAGATCGAACGCATCCAATGGTTCGTCAGTATCCAGCGATTGCGCTAAGCTGTCAACTTCCCTTACAACCAATATCCTGTCGTTTGTAATTCTTAACTTTGGCAGCTTCAGAGCAGTGTGTTGTCCAGGGAGTCGAGGTAATGCTTCCTGCGCTTTCCGCGAAGTCAGGAGACCCCTGGACTTTGAGGGCCTCTTCCGTGTCTGCTTTACTGGGTCTTTCTGGGCGGGCATTGCGGAGTCTTGTCCCAGAGATTCAGCCAGAGCAGCCTCCAGCTGTTCCTCTTCGGTTAGAACTTGATTCCGAGAAACCTCGTTCACATTGCGCGTAGTACGGCGGACCCATGTTGAAGTTCCACCATGACCGCTCCCAGATCTCGTTACACGTTGTGAAATATGAGTCGTGGACGTATTCGAAGGATTGGCATCTTGTCGTTCGGGTAAAGCGACCCTTTCTCCCGTAGGAGCCACCTCTGTTATCGATCTCGAAGCTGGATGGCCTGGTTCGGTCTGATTATTTGCCCTTTCCTTTATAGCTCGCCATAGCGAAGTACCTTCTTTTAGACGGGGCATATTTGGTTGGTAATTGTGATTTCTTACTGAGGAACAAGAGTTTAGAACATGAACTCTGGACTTTTCAGGACGAATGGTATGGGGATTCATTCACATGTGTACCTACTCTGTGTTTGCACAGTGTTAACCCCTAGGGCAACAAATGGTGTGAAACAGCTTGAGAGACACGTTAGTTGCTCAGTATATGCTCAGTAAAGTTAACGCTTACTAGTTGTCGAAGGCATTGTCGGAATGTGGACACGAGATTCTACAAATGCGTCTCAACACGATGTTGAAATTTCATCTATTCATCACATGATGCCCGTTTATCTAGATGACTCCTCAGCAATTGGATACTCTGGCTGACTACCCACACTGCTTGTAGTCCTCAATCGTGATCCTTCCCGTCACGATTACCGACTCTCAACTCAATCCTCCAGGCTCAGCCCACTCTTGATCTTTCCAAGATCTGGGCTCCCCTTGCATAGTTCGCTCTTTCTGAATGGCCCTCTCAGGAAACGATTCGGGCCAACCGTCTTTGCGCCAGTGCTGCAACCGCCAAGTTGAGTGATAGCTGTATGGATCGTCGTGCCATTCGATGCGAGGCTCGGCATACTGGGGGTCTATGGGCGAGAGTTGTTGCTTATTTTGGAACACCGATGCAGAAGGTTGCGCTTTGGTGATCCCTAAGATCACCCTGATCTTGTAGTCGGCCTCCGTAGTTACTTCTAGGCGGTTTTCTTCGCGGATCTTTTCGATGGCTTCGTCGAATACGGCAAGGGCAGCGCGGCGGTCTCTTGGTGAACAAATATCGCTATCGTGATCGTTTGGTATCTTTTTGATGAATCGCAGTCTTTTCTCGCGGAGACCGCTGGCTATGGTGGTAACAGGATCGTATTCTAGAGGACCTTGGTCTTGGAAGTCGCTCATAGAGAGGCCGGTTCGCCTGGTCGGCGGAGGATTGGGTGGAGTACGGCGACCACCTGAATCATGTGGGACGCTGAATGGTTTAGGAGGCATGAGGGATGTAGTATAGCAAAGCAAGCTTAGGAGTGGAAGAGAGAGAGAAGGGTGTTAGTAGGCGGAGGTAATGACACACAGCTAGGCAACGAGACTTTATAGGGTTAGAAAGTGAGTGATACTACTGTGGGATCGCGTGCGATTCTTGATGAACGTGACTGCATAACAAACGCGCAGTACTAGGATATGAGCATGAGAGCAGTAACGGTTCTTATGTTCAACCATCGCTGTAGAACAGGGCAAGAACAGACAACGACACTCGCCGCCCGATAGCCACTTCTCAGCTCTTTCATGACGTCAGGCCTCGTTCCCAGAGCGGAAGTCGGACTCGTTGTCTCTTGCCCATACTCCGCCTCCTTGGTAGGTACTCAGTCCCACTTGAAGAACTTTTCGTCGTTGTTGACTTTGCGCATGAACTTCCTATGAAGAAATTAGACTCACTCGATTGGACCGAAAGAGCGCACCTACTGCCTCCTGCTCAGCTTCCGAGCTCTGTTTGCGATAGAGCCCGTCAGCGCAGATCGCCTGACAGCATTTCTGCTGAAAATCATGACGAGTGACTGCTTCTCGTTCGTCTCTCCGGCCATCTTCTGATCGCTGGTGCTTGTTGTCTTCTCGCGGAACCCAAAGCTCTTGTAGTAAGCCTTTGTGCCAGGCTTGTTGAACGAGCCGTCATCGAAGCGGAGGTCGGCTGCCTTGAAGGTTTTCGCATCCCTGCCGTAGTGTTTGATGGGATGTGCCTGAGCAGGCGAAACGGAAGACGAAATGGCGAGCGAAGGCGCTCGGATTGGAAGTACCACGGGGCCTTGACCTAGACCTGTGACATTGATGTCAGCATCAGTGGCCGCTGTGGCACGAGACATGATGATGTTGAAGAGGTTCCGGTGGCGTTGAGGTTGCAAAGGTTGCAGAGCGCTGAGATTGTGAGAGAGTCAATCAAATATACGAAGCCTAAGTGAAAAGTTTCAACAATTCCTTTCCTGGTGAAAGTGATTCTCCAAATTAGGCCAATGTGCAAACTCTCTTCTCATCACTATGCGTTTCCATCGCCAAACTTCTTATATGAATAACCCCATCTAGTCACTGGTGCCTGGATTGCTTGATTCGGCGTGACGGCGTTGTAATGTCTTGAACGTCCTCTTCATCGTCGCTGTCAGCACCTTCTTCTTGGGAAGCGCTGCTATCCTATACAATGTCAGTATCGCGCAAACGCTAGCTAGAGGGATGCAACGTACATCTCTTGCAGTGGTGAAGGCTCCGACACCACTGGCCGTTGAAGGTGGCGGGGGAGGCGGAGGCGGAGAGGGCGGGACAGACACGGCGGTAGAGGTGCCGATCAAGGGTTGATTACTCTGCGGAGGAAGGGCACTGAGGGGAGGTGGCCGCCCGACAGCCTGTGAATCGAGTCAGCTGGGCACTCTCATAATCATTCGAGAAAGACTGACTTGTTGTCCACCTTGGAGCACTGCCTGGACGCTTAAATACGTAGGTAAAGTCGTGGCAAAGGCACTCTCGATCTCTTTTGCAAGGCTCTCTGGATTACCTTGTCGCGCCTGGCTCCTGTTGATGATGTCTTGAAGAGCTATGGTTATAGCGTTGAGGGCTCCACGAGCTGACTGCTCAACGAGGGCATAGTCTTTGTTCTTGTTGTGGGCTACCCATTGCGTTAGATCGCGTCTTGCGAAGATTATTCGAGTACTTACCGAAGCCGTAAATAGAAATGAGCGTAGCCTCGTCGACGTTTGGGGTGTCGCTTACTCCAGGCTCGCGGCTGCCTGCAGCCTCGGAATGGTCTTCGGGATTGCTGTCGTCTCCAGGCTCGGCGTTCTCTCCAGGCTCATCGTTTTCTGATTCCTCGTCGTCGTCATCTTCGTCCTGTGAACTTTGCTCGCTAACAAACTCTTCGTCAAAGCCTTCATCGTCATCGCTATCATCAGGCGGTAGCGCCTCCGCTTGGGCGTCGTATGCATTATCGGTGGCTTCGGACTCGTTTAGCCAGTCTTGCCATTCTTGATGGGAATTGAAACCTTCCTCCTGCCATGCTGGGCGCTCATCTGCGCAATTTGTCGACTCCGAGTTCTGGGTTGACATCTTGACTGGACTTGGAAGACTGGTAGACGGCCCGAGTTGAAAATATAGATCAATAGTTTCGACAGGTCGATATATAGAGAAAGCGTGATATTGGCAACTATAATTCCTTACGAGGCGCGATATCCAAATCCGCAGTTGGGCAATGCGTGCAAACAATCGCTCTGTCACACCATGTTAGATCGAAGGCAGCTGATAACCGCGTTAATGAATGTACATGTGTTGGAAGGGTGACTGGAGTACATACAGGCTGATGCCTCATTGGGTATGGCCCTAGTAGTCTGACCTGCCACAGTCTCTAGTCCAAGGTAGTGAAATCGCAGGGAGGTCAATGAATGATGGAGTACTTAACTCCGGTTTAGCATATCTATACGGCCTGCAAGAAAAAGGCCTGATTGGAGGGCTTATAACCACCTTAGAGATTGACTCGCAGTTTGCTACACTGAAGTAGATGCGTCGAGTAAACAGTGACACTTCCACAGCAAGCAGATATTGTGTGCCTGCCGCGGAAAACAGCAACTGGTCGAGCGGTTGTACCATTGAGTGGCTTTCTGACTACTTTGGCATTCGCTTTTCCTGATAGATGGTCTTAACGCAGGCGGACGTATACATCCGCTTGATGGTTTGCCTTATCGAGGTGAGTGGCTACGAGATGAGCATCGGTTCCTTCCATATGATCACGACCTGTTGCATCGCATGTCGAATTCATCACTGCTTGGGTCTTTATTTCCTTCAAGACTCCACAAGATCTTCCATCATTCACTTTATAGAGACCACCGAACAGGTCCAGGTGAGGGGAAAGGTGCTCGCTTCGGTGTTATCGGATATACGGGCCAGCTGCTGTGAGCGTACCGTACACGCATCGTGACCGCGGAATCATCGCCAGTTCGGGCTGCAGAAGCTATACTGAGTACCGGAGCTGATGGAAAGTGACGAGGAAGAGAGGGATCGTAGACGCAGGGAGTCGTAGCGGCGATCTGGTGATCGTCGGAGATTGCCAGCTGTTCCTCCGATGCATCGCCAAGAGGGCAGGAACGCCTCATGCGGCGTCTCTCGCCGTTGCTCTATGTAGTTCGCGTCTTGGAATGCGAAAGTATTGTCGATGGTGTAGATACTGGTCTCAGAGCCATGCTCCACTGATGCCCCCGCGACGCGTGTCCCTCAGCAATACGAGGCCGCGCCACACCAGGCCTGTTCCACGCGTCTCGGTCGGGCCTAGGCTCCCCTGAATGCGGGCGGACGTTCGCAACGCGCTTTTTCTCAAACATGGATCGGGCCATTGCGATGGGGTGAAACACGTTTTGGGCATCTTCGATCTTGATCTCTGTACTCTCCTTTAGCTACTAATCCGACAGATGCCACACAGCAACCGCTAGCGACCATGTCGTCTTACCGGAAGCACATGCCGCGCCCGGCCCGCCTCGTCTTCAGCGTCATCCTCATATACGCCTTCTTCTGGGTCAAGGGCTGGCCGCGCACCTACGACGACGAAGAGCTCCCGCCGAGCAAGCGCCCCCAGCAAGAGTCCAACCTCGGCCCGCACCAAGTCGACCATGACCAGCTCGTCGTCGCTGTCACCACAACCGCAAACGACGTCTACAACAAAGTCACGCCTCTGATCCTCAACACCAACGAACAAGACCACGGCACACTCTTGCTGTTTTCGGACCTACAAACGCAGATCGGAAGATGGCCCGTTTTCGACGTCATCTGGCGTTACAAATCCGACTTCATACAGAAAACGAAGCAGCTGGAGCGATACCGCGCTCAGGTCGACTATGCGCGGAGGAGCATTCCCCTGGCCAAGTTGAAGAAGGAGGACGCAGAAGAAGAGAAGAGGGAGATGGAGATCCTGGACAAGTACAAGATACTGGAGACAATGGCGTCTGCGTGGGAGTACAGGCCAGACCGCAGCTGGTATGTCTTCGCTGGCGATGAGACGTACGTCAACAGGCCGAACCTACTCGATTGGCTGAGTCAACACGACCCAGACGCGAAGCACTTCTTTGGCAACCCGCCTGCCCCGGCGACGGCGCGCGTCCCCGATCCCTTCGCCGCCGGAGGCACGTCGTTCATCCTCTCGCGAGGAGTGATGTTGGAGCTGTTCAAGAAGCGCAAAGACTTTATCCAGAACTGGCGGGAGCAGATCGCGGACCACACGACAGCGTTTGATCTCGTCGCCAGCGCGCTGCAGGCCGAGGTGAAAATCACCTTTACCACAGTCTGGCCCAGCATCTCTGGATTCGACCCAAGCACTGTGCCATTCTCGCCTGCTATATGGTGCGAGCCTATCCTGCTGATGCACCACATCACACCGGACATCGGCGGCGATCTGCTCAGATTGGAGAAGGACCGACCCTCGGACCAGCCCACCCTGCGCTTTGCAGATCTATGGTACCGCTTCATGACCCCGGAGGACTTGAATTACACACGCAATGATTGGGACAACTTATCCTCCGAGTCTTCGAACAACCGGTGGAACATCCTTTTCCAAGGCGGCGAGCATCAGGACGCGGATCGCGCTGGGAACGGAGAAGCATCGCCAGAGGCATGCCAAGAGTCCTGCGACAACAGCAAATACTGCGTCCAGTGGTCCTACTCCTCGGTCAATCAGAGGAATTGGAACGAGAACCCGCCGACTAAGTGTCACCTGAGCAGCAGTATACGCTTTGGGACACATAAGGAGCCACAAAAGTTGAACATCGATGGAGAACGGGTCACACTCACCTGGAAAAGCGGGTGGAAGAAGGACAAGTTCAGTAAATGGACCAAGCAGCAAAGGTGCAAGGAGCAACAGCAGTAGCTCCGTAGTCTCGTCGTTTTTAGCGTTCTAGCGGTATTCTTATCTCTCAAATCCCAGCCCGGCTGTGTTCCTATCTCCAGTGCTTCTTGTAGTTTGGCCAAGCCCGCTTCAGTTCCGCCTCAATCCGCTCACCCCAGCTCTCCTGCCTGGTCTTGACTACGATCAGGAGCCGTTGTAGGATGTGTGCAACCTTGACTTCATCGACCCCAGCACCCAGACCCCTCATCACCGCGCCCACCGTGACGTCCGTCTCGTCTCCAGAACCCACGTTGTCTTCGACGTCGCCATCGTGCGAACTCAAGGCCTTTCCGACGTTCCTCTCCACCTCCTCACCCAGTCCCGAAACCACAGGCTCATCATCCAGGACCCCGAGGCCCAGACCAACTTTCCTCGAAGCCATTTCCAGATCTTGGAACCAACCCTTCTTCGCATTCACCACGTCTGCATACCCGGCGGCGACGAAGTAGAATCCGCACAGTGCCTTCAAATTATGCAGACCCGGGCGCTCGACATTCTCTTGCAGATGCGCCCAAATGCTTGTCAGGGCGAGGCGCTCGTTATCGCGTCGCGAGAGACTGATGCTGCGGCGGAAGAGCTGAATGTTGCCCTCGCTTGTCATGTATGCCGAGACTTTGTGGGTGATGTCGTCGACGACAATGTGACCGAGGAAGAGGGAGTGCGAGGAGAAGCCGACACGGTCGTAGTCAGGCCGCTCCCAGGGCATGTCGTCGACATCGAGGAGCGCGTTGTAGGCGTCAGGGAAGCTTTGCTCCGCGATCTTGACAATTTCGTCGTAGATGTCGGCGCCCGGGGGCTGTGTTTTCGCGTTTGCGGCCATCGCGGAAGGTATGTAGTTGGTAAAATAATAGCAGAAGCTGAGATCAAAGGTCAAAAACAATAGAGCTAGTAAATCTCAATTCGAAGTCACGGTGAGTTGCGTTTGCAGTGTGACATCATTGCCGCATTTGGTCCAAAAAGTGAAGGTGAAAGCGCATTCTGGGGAGCAAAAAAGAGCAAAAAGCCAAACCTAGTGGAAGTATCTCCATAAGACCGCACTTTGGGGGTATCGAACTGCGAGCCGATAGAGAGCTTTTTGAATCAGTGGTAGTATCGCCATAGACGGCTCACTCTCAGCTATGTGTGCTGTTCGATGGGAGATTTCAGATTTGAATTGTATATATAATTATTTCAATAGCCAAAAGCTGATAGAAATGATAATTCAACTGCCTGAGCCTCCTATGCTGTCGCAATAAACGCGTAAATACACAACCACTAGATAGGACGTCATTCAAGAATGCCATAGAAGGTGTCGCACGCGAGTACTCCAGTGCACGTGCACGTGTTCACGCTAGCGGCAGTGGACCGCCTGATCCTTCCCGGAACAAGCAACGCTCCTGCGACCTGCATCTTCTTAGCCTTATCATCAATACCCCGTCCATTGCGATATATCCTGCTGTAGTCCAGAGTATTATGCACCAGACTTCTCCGCATGCTTTGTCATATATCTTGAGTGCAGGGGGTCGAGCCTCCGGCGACGCGTTGTAGCTCAGACGCGCCAACATCATCGCGCGACTTGCTGGCAACAAGGCCCGTGATCCTTGACAAACAATTGACCAGACATCGGATGCGCTGGGACGCGACACAGACGACTATCCTCGGCGACTTATCACCTTCATAAAAACCGGAAAATGTCCCTCCAGACAATTCGCAAGCTAATGGCCAAGGCCGGCGCCGACTCCTGCATGGATGCACTGCCACCAGCGGATTCCCTGACCTGGATTGAAAATGCACTGGATGAGGCGGAATCCCCAAGTCTGTTGATCGGAAACGTAGGCAACCGCAACGTGCTGACTTATCTGCTGCCATCCGGCGGTGGTTGGGAGGTTCGCTACTGCCTCAGATCCATTGGCGATGACCGCGCGACCTCGACGCTGCCATCAATCACCGGAGATGAAGCCATGACGAAGCCTCTCATCGTTCCGTTCAAATACTTCACAGATGGAACGAAGACCAAGAAGCGAATGCTTAGCATGATTATACGTTACTACTTCCTTTTGCAGAGTCATATAAGCAAAATCGATGCGTGGAACGATGACTTTAGTCGGCGGTTATCGTCTGTGCTGAGAAAGGTCTACGGGAATACCGATGGAAGCCATGGGACCTATAAGCATCCCCGAGAAACAGGCGAGACCGTGGAGGAAAGCTCAGAGCCGGAAGACATGGAAAGCCCGAATGGATTACTGCCTGCCAACCGAAATGGCTTGGTAAACGCACCTGAGAGCAACGTCACATACGATACCCCACATGGTATGAGCTGGGACGGAAATCCGGATTTGCAACTACTATGGTCATACCTTGCTGAGCGCGGCGCGTTGCGACTCTTGGAGAATATTCCCGATGCTCATGACATGGAATTCTTGGATCAGACGTACATCCTAGAAGCCCAACCGAAGAAATTATTCGTCGGAACCCATGCGAAGACAGAGCACAGAATCTATGCCTACATGGTACGAATAGCGCAGCGGGGTTTCCATGAGATCCGATTTTACCTGGAAAGCGCTCGTGGTACCTACGCGTCAATGTCCGCCGAAGCTACAGGGAAGCAGCGCATCTTGCACCCTTTCAGCAAAACTTACCCCAGAAGTACCGGTCCAAGCGACCCACCTGACAAAGCCAGGTTAACGCTCATGGTCAAGTGGTATTTCATCGCAGCTGGAATTGCTACGGACTGCGTTTTACACGAAACCAAGGCCTACCCCGAGCGTCTCCGCTGCGCACTGGAGTACATCTCTGATCAGATGGGCCCTAGTGCCTTCAAATCATCGGGTACCGTACCAATGGATGACAGTATAGCAGATGAGAGTAGCGAAAGCTCCTACACCCCAGAGAAGCAGAACACCCAGTCGACCCTGGCCAATGAACCCACGCCTAAAGCGCCTCGCTTCCCGCAGAGCGTTGCGCGTAAGTCGGCCCCTTCAATCGCACGTCGTACAATCCCTCATGCAACATCAACGCAGAAGCCGCTGCCGACAACCTCGGTTCCCAAATCTGCCAGCCCTGAAGCAGATGCAACACCCACAGCCCCGCCGCGCAACTCCAAGCGCTCAGCCGAAGACGAGGAGTTCGACGCCCTCACCAGGCTGGTCATGCAGCAAAATGCTCTGACGAAGGACCTCAACAATGTTGATCACGAATTGGAGGTTATGGATGCGCGCTTCGAGGCTTTCCAGGAGAAATGGAAACGAGAGCGCGCAGAGTTGGAGAAGAAGAGAGACGAGATCGAAGAACGCAGGGCTGAGGTGAGGAACATGTTCAAGAGGCGGAGGACGCTCGATGTGGAGAGTGACTAATGGAAGCGTGTGATGGGCGGTCACGTGTGCGAACCATGGTTGAGCTCTCAGAATAACGAGAACTCTGGTTAGTTATGCGAATTCCGGTGTATCGGCGCTTGAATGCAGCCCCATACATTCTTAATACGAATTATCTTCCATCCTTGCTGGGTATTCTTCTTAACAACCCGCTCGCCTATTGCACATTCAGCTCGAATATCAGTCGCCATGAACCTGAATCAACTCCTCAACCCGAACACATCGCCGCAGCGGCTGCTGAAGTCTACATGTGTTTCAAAGAGCGCTTCCCTGCACTCTCAAAGCAAGACCGCTGCGTCGCAGCAGACGGCGAGCCCTCCAGTATGTCAAGTGGCGTCGCGAGTCACCCACGATTGCCTGCCTCTCGACTCCGCGGTCAGGCCAGTAGCGTGCCCTACTGAAAACCGACCTGAAGTAACTGGAGAGCCTTATGCCCAACCCTCGCAGAAGACGACAGCGCATTGTGGTTCATGTAGGGCTTCTTCACCTGCAAAACTACCACATACTCTGAACTTGTCAACGGCAGTCGCACCTCGACTCGAGCAAACACCCATAAGAGACGTGAACACACCGCCTGTTGCCGCGCCTAGTGTTACTTCTACTGACACCATCAAGAAAACAAGGAAAGCGGTCAAGCAGGCCCCAAAGCGACGCAAGAAAGAGGAAAAGCCCGCTTCGGTCACCGCAGCACCGTCGCACGAATCGACAACTCTTCGCACTCTTCTTCCTCTACTACTACCCAAAGATGCCAACGTACCCAAGGCCGATCTAGCTACACCTTCCAAGCAGATTAGTTGCCCTGTAGCTCCAGGTCTAGACCTAAATTCTGGACCACGTAAACTTATTCGAGAAGTACCGCAACATCCTCTGGACCTACCCGTTCCGGACGCAAACGAAGCGAAAAGCAAGAAGCGCAAACGGGCAGCACTCAAATGTGACAAAAGGCCAGATCCGGCCTCTACAGGTCACCACGCCCGGCGTAAATGTTTCGGAAAAACGGAGGTTGTGACAGTGGGTGGGTGGGTAGCGTTCAGGAGGGTAGTGGCGTAGGCGTAACCTTGGAAGGAAGGGTGGTGGAGCAAACGCTTCTCGCGGTGACGCAGACTCCATTCATTTCGCGATATATTCAGCCCTCTGGGGGTTGTATTGATATCTTGCCTCTGCAGAAACAATAGTAATTCGAGGTCACCTCGACTCGCAGTCACCACAAATGCGCTGGGGCCATCCACTCAATTATATAAATATCTTAAATTCCTTCGGTGACACTTCCTTCTCCCACCTCCTACATCCGCTCCCTAACATTTGACACCGTCATGTCAGCTGTGCCGAGGCGAGCCCAAAAGACCCGCGTGGTGGATATCAGCGACTCATCAAGCCAGGCATCCGAAGACAACAGCCCCCCAGCCAAAATCGACCCCAAGGCCAACAGAGTCCGTCAACACTACGCAGCCATGAATCCCGATCGACCTAACGCGGTAACGACTGGCAGGTATGGCATGTTCTCTCAGGTCGACCCACGTCTTCCACCGCCTGCGACTCCGAGCAAGACGGCAGCGAAGCGCAAGAGAGCGAGCTTGGATAAGAGGGAGGCTGACAGTAACAAGAAGTCAGGATTGAAAGACGATTCCGGAGATCGGGAAGAAAGTCCATTGTTCGAGCCGGAGTCTGATGGACAGCAAGATGCAGACACTGTTATGCTGAGTCCGCCTTCGACGCCATCGGCCAATTTGCGCCTGCCAAGCCGTAAAAAGGGAAAGAGTACTGCCACACCCCTCTCCACCGTCCTCGCTCTTCGTCGCCGTAGACACAAGCCCATCGTCATCGAAAGCGGATCTTCAGGCTCTGGCTCTGACTCTGACTCTGACTACGACTCCGACACAAACTCTAACATCGTCGTAGCTACACAAGACAACCTCACGACCAACGCCACCAAAGACCTCATCGCTACTTCTGCCATGCCTGGAGATGTCTCCGTCGTCGATGAGTACATCAGTATTCTCAAGGACATTGCTACTAACTCTTCCGAGACCGCTAAGCATTATCAGGCTATCGAAACACTCGCCGAAGAAGAAGAAGAAGACATATCTCTCGCTCTCGACGGACTTGCCGACGAAGAGGAACAGGAGTATGCCGACATTGCGCAAGCATGCGCTCTGTGCATAAAGGACGACATGGCAGAGCCCGACATAGCCGCTGACTTTACCGCTATTCAGGCTGCAATTGAGAGGCGCAACAAAGAAGCTGAGGAGGCTCGTCAAGCTGTACCGGAGGCGATGGCGAAGAAAAAGGAAGAGCTTGAAGCGAAGAGGCTGCAAGTACGCTACAAGAGGGAGGATTTAGAAGAGGAGAGGACAGACTCCGAATGGGAGAAGTTGCAAGAGAGGAAGTCGGAGTTGGAGAATCGGGGTGGTATGGCCATGGGGTTTGAGCTGGGCAAGAGGTCGGTGAAATAAGAAGGCGCAGGGGACCTCGGTGACCTCGCATAGTGCGTCACGTGTAAGCCTGCACTGCAACGAGATGCTATGTCAGCTGCTCACCCATGGGCCTGACGAGGTGTTATCTGGCTGGGAGACTTCTCGATTCAGTATAAGCTGAGATGATTCGGAGACTACATGTACCTATCAATTAGCAACATCTAGGACTCACACGGGCTTTTGCTTCAAGTAGACTCTGAACAATGAGATTTATGGGTATACCAGTAGACTAGCGAACGGCCCCTTGAACCACGGAAACCCAAATTGAAACGCCTTATAACCCCAGCTAACGAATAAAACTACAAAACAAAGAGAAATCGCGACACTCATCTAGAGTACGCCTAATACAAATCGTAAGACCACTAACCCTCGACCTCAGTCTCCGCCTCAGCCATGACCTGCTCGCCCTCATCTAGCATATCCAGCACCCTCTTCAAACCACCAACCATGGCATTGGCCTGGCCCACCAGCAACAGCTTCTCGGCATTTGCCGGCAAGCCGAGGTAAGTAGGCGGCTCGCGCTCGGGAAGGTCATTGACCCAGCCCATGAAGTCCTTCCAGCTAGTCGAGGTAGGTAGTTCGAGACCCTCGCTGTGCTCAGTATCCTTGACGATCTTGAAGTTGTCCTCAAAAGCGGCGGGCGTCATAGTGGCATCGACGAGAGAAGCGAGAATGCGCCAGTCTTCTGCGTCGTCGATCTTGCCACCGTACATCTCAGTGATGAGGTAACGGAGCATCTCCCATGGGATCTTGGTAGGGGCGATGTTAGATCGGCCTTGTGCGACGGTGTCGACCCATGTGTCGATGATGAAGCTGCAGCATTCGTAGTCACTGTCATTGAACTCCCAGAAGCCCTTCCATCCTAGAGTCGGCGCGTAGCGAAGACGCTCTTGAATGACTGCGTGGAGGAAGGACAAGAGGAGGTAGACACGTGCCTTCTCCACCGGCGGCTTGGTGGCCTTCTCGGCCAACGAAGAGAGCGAGTCTTTCATGTTGGCACGGACTCCAGCAGGCTGCTCGTAGGATAGGACGCGAGAAGCGCGAAGTAGGTTGACCGGAATCTTGGGGCTGGACTCCATTGACAGGAAGAGACGGAAGTCGGGGTTGGGCTTGAGAGCTTCAAGACGCTTCTCAAGCGATTGCAACCATTGTGGAGCGAGATGGACGTTCTTGACAAGTACCCAGTTGCCTGTAGTGGCGGCGTTAGCGATGGCTTTGTCGGCTGATGCGGCGCCTTCGTTGGAACCCATGGCAATGTTTGTGCAGCTGACTTGCTCCCTCTCTACAAGATTGTCGACCTTGTAACTTGCGTCGAATCCAGGACTGGAGCTGAGCGCCACCGGGGTTACTGCATTGACTTGCTTGACAATATCGCCCAGATCACCGCTGGCATCTAGGATGCCCTTGCCAAACACCTCAGTGACAAAGCGCTCGACGGCGGGTACGAAGCGATCCACACGGAATAGCTTGACCAAGACGAGAGCTCGTAGTAGCTTGTCGAACTTGGTAAGATCTTCTGGCCAAGCCTGCGGTACATGTCGCTCTCCCATCTCTTCATTGAGGAAAGCATCCCAAGCGCTGTCTTCAATCTTTGGCAGCTCTTCCTTAAACATCGGGATCTTGCTGGCACGCTCCATGGCCTCCTCTTTGCGCTCTGTCTCGGTTGACACATCGATACCCTTCAGGTCGGGGTCAAGGATCTGATCGATGTGTGCCTTGTCCATCTTGTAGGGCGCCGCTTGCACGAGCAGCATAGCAAACGTAACACGGTCCTTCTGGAGCAAGGAGAGCGAAGTGCGGCGGTATGCGTCAACGAAGAGCTCAGTAACGATCTGCTCAATACGGGCAGCATGACCAGTGATGTTGGAGTTGCGAATCTTGCGCAGCACAGTCTCAAAGATCTGAGTAAAGTACTGGAGCGAGAACTGGTAAAAGTGGTTGAGATGGTGCAGTTGCTCCAACACAGCGAAGATAGCTGAGCAAGAACGAGCGACAACAGTGTACTCCTTTGTGATGTTCTCGACCTCTGTCATAACGCCAGCGGTCTCGGAGACCTTGTCCGAAATCTCCTTGGCCTCCTTCTTGAGCGTCTCGAGCGTTTCGATGACGCGGTCGTCGTCCAGAATGTTACCGCGCGATTCGTTGAGAGCTTGAAGCAGTCGCTTCTCAAGCTGACGAAGATGGACTGCGAACTCTCCTTGCATCTTGATGAGGTTGGATCGGCGCTCATCAACATCAGGTCGCTCGGACTTGAGGACTTCGTTCAGTGTCTGTGTCTGCAAGCTGCTCTGCGTGACAGTAAAGTTGACGAACGTGGTACGACTGCAGATGTCAGGAGCGAAGTTGGCGGAAGGATCGCGTGTTGAGAGGTAGAGGCGGAAAGACGGCGAAAAGTCGATCTCCTGCTTGCCGAGTTGAATGAGCACACGACCTCCAGTTTTCTGGTACTCCTTGTTGAGAACGTGGTTAAGGATGGGATCCAGATGTTCGGCATCCTGAATCAAGATTGGGTTACCGAAACGCAGGGAACTCTCAAGTTGTTTGGTGAATGAATCATCCAAGAAGCTAGTCACCGTGAGACGGCGGTCCTTGCATTCGTTCTGTAAGAACTCTGTTGTTCTGCCAGAAGGATCGATGATAAGCGGGTAGCGGTTGAACCTCTGCAGGATGATGGCGTTCTCGGTGCACAGGTCGTCGACCGGCAGACCATTGTGTTGCCAGTTCAGGCGGTCATCAGCAGTCGAGAGATATTCCGTGAATGGATTTGTTGGCTTGAAGCTAATTCCGGAGTGTTTGAGGTGATCGTACCAGTCCTCTGTAAGCGCTTTCCTGTACTGTTGGTCGTAGTAACCGGCATAAGCGATGAACGCAGCTGCAACCAAGACGTCACCAACGATGGTGTCGATCTGAGAATCGAAAGACTTGCTGCTCTCCTCCCATCGAACGCGTTCAGAGGACAAGCTGTCGAGAAGGCGTACACTGCGGTCGACCTTGAACTGAACGGTCGCCATCTCCGTCTTGATGGCCTGAGTTTCACTGATCAAAGCCGCGTACTCAGTCTTGTATCGGCCAATGCTCTCCTCGAGGTTCTGGATGAGGACCTGGGTTTCCTTGGCGCCCTCCTCTGTCTTCTGAAGCTCAACTTGCAGGTTCTCGACTTCGGCACGTAGGGGACCGACGCGGTCAAGGATGTCGGAGTAGGTAACTTGCGCAGATACCCATTGTACAAGGGGACCGCAAGCCTTGGAAGCGCGATTGACCTTCTCGAAAGTGAAGTCTTCTTGGGAAAGATATTCCTTCTGCATCTTCCTGCGGTGGCCTGCAGTCATCTGCCTCTCGTTGTCGAACTGTACGATACTGGCGATGAAGTCGTCACGCCTGACGATGGAAACGATAGTCTTCCAGCTGTCGGGCTTGTGTCCAAGAATCGTGCAGACGGCTTCCAAAGCGAGCTTGACACCAGCAGGAGGATTCTGCATAGATCGGACTTCGGTAAGATGCTGTCGCTTGATGTTCTGCACACTCTTCTGTGCCTCCGCCACAGCCGGCTCGGCAGCCGCCAAATCGTGTTCTACCACCTCTTGTCGCTTCTGAATCTCCTCCTTGTCCTTCGCAAGCTGAGCTTGCATCTTGATCGATCCAGCCTTCTTCTGTTCCGCCTCGTTCTGGTCCGCAATCATACGTTGCAGCTTTTCGTTCGCTTCTGCATCCTTCTTAGTGAGCTGCGTCTGCTTCTGTGCAAGGCTTGCTCGCAGTTCCTTGACCTTGTCGAATGTCTCGCGCAGCTTCTCAAGACCGACGTTGAGATGGCGCTGCTGCTCCTCGAGATCTTCGCGCTTTTCGTTGTAAAGCTTGACGTACTGCGCAACGAAGTCCAAGAAGTGACGTGGGGTAAGGTACATCTTCCGGTTCTGTGTCTTCTGTAACTTCGCGTTCTTGCTGCGTAGCGAGTGGTGTACAGCGACCATGGCATTGACCACACTTTCGCGGTGGGAAGGCGGAAGGGTGAGTCCGCGGTAAGCAACGGGAATGCTATCCGGTGCAACGTAGTTGGCGCGGTCGAGATCAACAGATTGTGTGAGCTCTGAGCTGACTTGGTAAAGAGCCTGGTCTGACCAGTCTCCGAACCAGTTGAGCACGCAACGGTTGAAAAGAGCAGGACTGGTGGCTGCCTTCGACGAAAGACCCTCTTCGGGTGGATTCATGGTGAACACAACATGAAGGTTCTTGACAATTTGCTCCGTAAACCACTTGTACAGCTCTTCCTGTGAGTCGAGAATGATGCCTTGTCGCTGCGCACCCTCCTTGATAGCAGTAAGCAAGGAAGCGTACTCATCACCTTCGAACAGACCAGGAACCTCCGCGTTGGCCAGGAGGGTGTTCATGCGCTCGAGGAAACCGGAGTCAAGAACATTGGCCTCGTCCATGATGAAGCAGATCTTCTCGCCCTTGCAACCGCATCGTCGAAGCACGGTACGCAAGTCTTCGTCAAAGTCTTCGCCCGAGTACTTTCCGTGGACCTTGATTTGGTAGACGCTCAGACCGTTCATCCAGGCCACGAAGCGAGACAGGGTTGTCTTTCCAGATCCGCTGACACCGATGAGAATGAGATGGCCCTGTGGTTGACGGAAGACACGATCGATGCGAAGTACGTGCTCGAGCACGTCGTTGAATAGGATGAGTGGCACATCCACTTCTTCTTCGCAGAAGGTACGAAGACGAGCCTTAACGAACTCGCGAAGCTGCTCACGCTCAACCGGCACGTAGTTCTTGGACAGCCAGTTGGAGAAGAGGATGGGGCCACCAAGAGCCTTCTCTTCGTCGATGGTAGGGAAGTGTTCAGCCGCAATACGGTGGACGCACTCTTCAGTCCATTGCCTCTCTTCCTCTGCGATAAGACGATCCTGGAACAGGCGGAGTGCCTCGTGTGCCCAGATACGAACGAGGCCTTCGATCGGCAAAGTCTCAAGGGGTCGTAGTGCCTCGTAGATACCACGTACCCATCGAGTAAGCTCACGAGGAGAGTAAACGTAATGTGGCTGGATATCCGGTGTGAAGCGCTTTTGTGACTCCGCATATAGCTGCACCATAGCCCTCGTAAGAGCGTCTGCGTAACCTCGTAGAGTCGGGATAATTTTGAGTACGGCGGTATTGAAGGTGCCGTAAATCTGAAGAAGAGATTGCTGTCCAGGGTAATCGACCATGATGAGCGGGGCGTGGCGTAAGAACCTGAGGCCCATAGGCGTACGTCCAGCATCGGTGGGAGGGTTACAGGCACCAACAAATTGGATGCGATCGAGTGTAACCCAAGTCTTGTCAGATGTCCTCCAGAAACCATTGTGCTCGACAAGCTGTCGCAGGAAGGAGATAGCTCGTTGAGTACCGTACTTGTCGGGTGCTGGCAAGTTGATCTCGTCGCAGAAAATGACGAGCCAGCGACCAACTTGAGTGGGAGTAAGTTGCACGCCGTTAAGAGTCTTCTTGTATTCACAGTACTGTTCGAACGTCTTGATGAGAAGATCCGGGGTAGTGGCACTGGAGAAGTTGAGACCAACAACCTGCATGTTGGGTAGCTTTCGAAGTGCGCTGAACAAAGTCATGGTCTTTCCAGAACCTGGAGGACCGCAAAGGAGTAGGGGCTTGTGCTCCGCAAGCCAAGAGTACAGAACATCCTCGTGGCGAACCGTGTCCAACGTGGGAATAACCACATCGGTCTGAGTAACGGAATGGGTGTTGACTTCGACGTTCGGTACCTGGCTCTGCCATGTGTCCCACTCTGGCTTGTCGGGCTTGACATCGTAATCAATGAGCGAAGTGGTCTCGTTGAGGGCGGGGAGTTCAACGTCAGTAAGACCAGCGATGAGATCTCCAAACTGCTTACGCTCCATAAGAGGGCAATCACCGACCAAAGCCCAGACCAAGGCTACGAGCAACTTCTTCGCGAGATAAGTCTCCATCTTGTCATCCTCAAGGGAAAAGTCCGGGTGCTGCACATTGTACTCTAGAACATTGCGGCATGCTTTGTTGAGCAGAGAGAACAGTGTGTTGAGCGCACGGATGTCGGTGTACTCCATGATATGCTTGAACTTCCTAGCCATGCTGAGAGCCTTCTCAATGAATCGGTCCTGGGTGAGCTTGATGTGCAAGAAGTCGGCGATGAGACCTTGTGTCGTCATCGTCTTCTGCGACATCTGACCTGGAGCGACCGAATCGTCTTCGAGGTCTTCGAACGGTGTAGTCTTGAGATGCTCGATGTAGTTCTTAATCATCATATCGACCTCCACAGTATCGTCGCTGAACCAGACCATACCGCAACGGGAGACGGTAGCCAGTGTGGCGTACTTGAGAGTCTCAACTTCGAACATAATGCGAACATTGGATGGCAAGTTGAGACGCTCTCCGTTTGGCAGGGTGAGAAGCTTGTTGTCGTCAAGCACCGAGTTCAAGTTCTCGACCCACTCAGGATCAACATCACCATCAAATACGATCCAGTGACGCTTAGTGTCTTCACCACGAAGGTTGTCGACGATCTTACGCAGTATGCTTGTGAAAAGACCATCGGTCCACTCGCGTGTGGTGCTGTCGAGAGTTCCGTAAAGCTGTTCCTTTGACATGACTTTGGGATCGATGACGTGACAGACGCCTTCCACTCCCTCCACGGCTTGAAGGGCAGAGAGAAGCGTCCTCCAGGCAGCAGTTTTTCCAGATCCGGAAGAACCGACCATCATGACACCGTGGTGCAACTTCTGAATCTGGTAAAGCTGAATGATCTTGGTCAACCAAGAATCGCTAACCACGAGCTTCGACTCCGCGGCGCACTTGTGGATAGCTTCGGTCAACTTGTCAAGAGGCGCAGGGATGTATTCCACACCGGGGAAAGCCTCCTCTTGGATGGCCATCAAGAGCTCGACATCAGAGCGAATAAGCTTCGGTGCCATTGTTTCGCGTAAGCTCTGAATGATGATTTGAGGCTCCATGCTAGCTTCATCCAGAGTCTGAGAGTCTTGCTGAGCGGCGATGCGGGCGCGCTTTAACCCACCAGAGCTGACAAGCACACTCTTCAGCGCACGCAGACCAAAGTCGTAATGAGCCTGCTTGGAAAGACCAGCTGAGCACTTGTCGAAGAACGGTACGACCTGCTTCGACAGCTCTTTCGCTTGCGAGAAACCTTGGGAGTACAGCATGACTTCAGCAATAAGTTCCTTGTCGGGTTTGGACATGGCCACGCTTCGGAAGAGCTTCTTGAGATTGTCGGGCAAATTCGATCGACCTGCATAACCAGGGTTCATGGTGATGAAGACTCCAGTGTTACCGTTGACCTTCAGTTGACGACCAATAAGCTCGATCTGAGATTTGTCGTCCTCGGCGCCCTTCTTGAGACCCAGCTGAATGTTTTGAATCTGCTGAGACACAGCCGACAGGATACGCTCTTCCAGACGGTTGAACTCGTCGAAACAACCCCAGGCTCCAACCTGGCAAATACCAAGGAAGATACGACCCATAGCTTGGAAGTCGAAAGTGTCGTCACAACAGAACACAAGGGTAAAGCGTCCAAGCTGTACACCAAGAGCTTTGACCGACTCAGTTTTACCAGTACCAGCAGGACCGTATGGCGAACCACCAAGTCGCTGACAAAGCGCCTGGGTGAGGGTGAGGAAACAGCGGTCGGTAAGAGGTGTGCGCACAAGGCGATCGGCAACACCCAGGTACTCGAAACCGTAGTCGAGAACGGCATTTGCCATCTTGATCCTCAATCGCTGCAAGAGATCATTGCCGGGCTCATACATGTATCGCATGCATAGTAGCCACATGTGATGGGTAGGAGAGCGTGCGCCAACCTTGTCAAGCTTATGGATGACGTCTCGCTGGTGAACGAACTCAGTGATGAGGTCCTCGCACTTGCGACGCTGAATGGGTTCAAGGTCACCCAGAACAGCGGTAGCGAGGAGCTTCAAGACGTTTACTTGCTTCTCGTACAACTGAGGCAAGGTCGTGCCTTCTTCAGAAAGAGACTTCTCTACAGCATGGGTCCAAGCGATCTGCGTTCCGAGGACGACTACCTGCGTTGGGTACTTGGCGATGTAGTTGGTGAAAGCTTCAGGGTCCATCGCATCAGGCTCAATGAGTTGAGCGAACTCTTCGTAAGCTTCGAAAGTCAACTCGGCCAGAGTAGTCTTCATGTTGGCTTCAAGGGCACCAAGCCATTCGTTGATCCTGGGTGTCTTAACGAGCGAGATTTCTTTGCGAAGCGTAACCTCCTCTCCTTCCTTGGACGTGAATCCTTGAATGACGCCGTCCTCATCAGTGATAAGTCCAGAGATACCAGCAAACATCTTTCGCAGATGTTTGGCAATACGCATAACATCGTTACTGTTACCGATGATTTCCAGTAGATCCTCGTCACCAACGAAGTAGAAGCGAGGGAAGGATACACGCTCGCGTTCCAGATACTCTCCGAGTGCCTTCTGGATCTTGTTCAATAGCTCGGCGAGGCGTTCCAGCGACTTCTGCACACCAGAGATGTTGAGGACTTCGAGCACGAAAGGCTGTCGCGAGACCTTCTTCATGACTGACAAGAACTCAGAGTTGATGTTCTGGAAACGAGCCGACTCCATAGGGAGCAGGTGCTTGATGTCAGCGTTACCAGTGAACACGCCCTCCAGGTAGACCCATTGACGTTGCACATCGATCCATACATCGAACAGAACATGCACGCGATTGAGCTTGTCCTCCCAAGAAGACGCCTCTTCCTCGAACTCCTTGTAGTAAGGCGAGTGGCGCATAGCCTGCAGTGAGTTGAGGTTTTCGCTGCACTTAGCGAACAGGTCGTCCCATCCCCTGATAAGACGGCACTTGTTCTGGTAGTTGACGAGCTCCAAAGAGTAGTTCTGCCAAGTCTCGCGGACCTGCTTGATGAACTCCTCAAGTGCCATCTCGCCCGCTGCTTGAGTAATGACATCGCGAATGATCTTTTCGCTAGGGCCGAGCTTAAGGTCCCAGACATCACCGAGTGTCATGGAGATGGCGGAGTATCGCTTCTGTGGCCTCAGGTTCTTGAAAATCTTGACCCAATGGCGCTCTTTGACGGCATCAGAGCGCAGTTCTGCAAGAATCGTGTTTTCTTTGAGAAGTTGCTTCAGGGTAGTCTGAACGAATTCGAAAGCCTGGTACTGGCGCATCCGGCTGGGCATGTCCTTGGTCATCTTGAGCAAGTTGTCAAGGTTCTGTCGCAGCTTGCGAGGCTGAATGCTGGTCCACAAGACCTCACGAAGGTCGTCGATGCTGGCCCAGATGGTGCCAAGCGCAGACCAGACGGATTTGAAGTCTTGCACTTCCTCCAGCAGGGTCTCAAGTGCGTTTTCTGGAGATGGTGGTAGTCCAAGAGCTTCCTTGGCCTTCGAGATGTTGCTGGACTCGTTCTGAAGCTGGCTAAGCTTCTGGTCGAACTTGGCCAGAATGGCTGAGGCTTCAGCTGGCGCCAGGTTTCCTGCAACAGGCTTGTCCTCTGCCCACTCTCCTGTGATGTTCACAATCTTCTGGCTGACGACTTTGTCCTCCGCGCCAATCTTGGCGCGCAGCGCGTCAGCTTGATCGTTCGCAATCTTGGTCTTCCTCTCCAGAACCTCGTTCAGCGTCTGCCATTCATGGTCGATCTGTTCCATCTGCAGCCAGTCGGACGGGAACTGGTAACGCTGGCGAGCCAGAGTTGCTTGACCTTGACGGAAAGTGGACATCTCTGGCTCCCATTCGAGAACCTTCCTCTTGCATTGCTGTACTGTTGTAATAAAAGAGACAGCCTGAGCAGTGGATGAGGCCTCCAGGGTCTGCATTTCAAGATCCTTACGTGCCTTCTCTATCTGCACATAAACGTCGTTCATGCGCTGACCAAGCCTACTGGCAAACTTGGTGAGGATTTCCTGCTGCCATTGGTCGTACTTGGCGTTGACCTTGACCTGCACTTGGTCGTAGTCGACAGTGACATAGCCAAACTGGCGACTGATGTCAGAGTTGTCGAAGGTAGCGCGAGTCTTACGAATTTCCTGGAGTAGTTGTAGCCATCGTGAAAGATCTTCGCCAAGGATGTCGTAGACATGGTCTGACTGCAGATCCCATAGAGATTGGAACTGGAGCCACTCATCCACGTATGATGAGATGTCACGGAGCTTGCCTTCGACAGCGCCATAGACTTCAATAAGCGAGTCGGTGCACCGGCTTGGCAAGTCAGAGAACTGGCTGGCAGAGGTGTCGTTGGTCGCTTCAAGTCGGATCTCGTATCGTGAAGCCTTGATCTTCTGGAGAGTGCAAATGATGGCGAGCCATTGCTGCAGTTGCTCAAGCCAGCTTGCACGGGCGTATTCTACCGGAGGGCTGAGGTAAATGACCTGGTTGCGCATAGTAATCTCAAGAGTCAATCGCGCCAGAGTCGGCTTGACTTCTGGTGCCTCCGTCGAGACAACTTCACTGACTGGGCGTCGAGTTCGATCTTCCTCGTCTACATTATTGAAGACCTCAATCCACAATGCAATAGCTCGGCTGAGACGGACCAGCAAAATCGATTCGATGCGCGCATTCATATCAGAAACCCAAGAGTCAAGATTGGCATAGCTCTCAAGGTTGAGCTGATCGATGGACTTCTGGATAGTTTCGAGGTTCTGTTGGAAGGCTTCCTTGGTGTAAGGACATGTCTCCAAATCCTTGAGCGACTTCTCAATCGCAGCGTTGATGTTGATGAGTGTTGCAACCTTGAGTTGAAGTAGTGACGTTGTAGCTGCGAAGTCACGTACAAATTGAACATGCTTGCTCTCACTACGGACGCTACCACCGCCAACAGGGAAACCAGATTGTCGGACGTGAAGATCGTAAGCATGAACAAAAGACTCCCACTTGAGGGGAACACCTTTGCCGACAAGCGCTTGAACCTCGTTAACGTAGTTGTTGAGTAAGAGTGCAACTCCGCCAATCTCAGAAATCGACCGCAGGGTCTGGGTGTACGTGCGGACACTCTCCATTAAGCTGACTGCGTAGGGGTAGACACGCTTGGCCTCTTTCGAGATGTTGTTGATGCCGTGAGGCACTTGGTAGCCGCGCCATGTCAGGTTACGAACTTCCTTAAACAGCGCAATGACTTGCGCGTCAAAGTTGACGTTCAGCTCCAAGATGTTTCCTGCGGCACGGTTCCTGCTGACAAGGAAGAGGCGTCCCGAGATCTGCAGTTTCCTCCTCGCCACTTCCTGAAGCCATGACTCAAAGATCGGCCTGGTGTCGAGCTTCTTCTTGAACATGCTGCTCTCAGCCTGGAGCTTTTGACCTTCAGCATGTAGCGCCCAGTCCTTACCGAGGATATCTTCGACCTTGCCCATGTAGCTCTCCAGCTGTGTTTCAATCTGCCGAGCCCAGATAACAGCACCGGAGACCGGGGGGAAATCGCGAAGCTGCGCCATGGCATGAGCTTCCGAATTACCGTACTGGCGCTTGAAGCGCTCGTGAAGTGCCAAGATATCCTGCTTGACATTCTCAATGAGCTGAGTCTGGTATTCGGAAATGGCTCCCCGAATCTTAGGTCGCACAAAAAGCGGATTGAACTTGGAGAAGACGCGGAACATCTCACTGGCGGTCTTGGCGGTACCAAGACGGTCTCGCAACCTAGCGATGATTGAGTTCTCGACACGGGAAGTACGCTCGTTGTACTTCTGCTCTGCTTGCTCGAAAAGTCGCGTGCCTTCAGGAGAGACATCCAGGACATCGACGTCCTTGAGCACATCGTAAGCCTCCTTGACTTCTTTCACGGCGTCAACATCACCGATCTCCTCGATGATGACCGCCTCCTTGGCGGGAGCGCTCTCGGATAAGGAAGATTGCGAACCCAGGACATTAACGATGGTTCGCTGAAGCTGCTCGTGGTTCTTGCGGAACGTTGTAATGTAGCGAATGCGCTCCTCCGTCTCCTTGTGCCTAGCTGCAATCTTGATCGGGATGAACTTCTCGTTCCTTCGCCTAGTCACCTCACGAGCAACATTAGTGAATTCCTTTACGTTTTCCTCCCATGTGCGCCAGATGCTCTCAGCGACAGCCATGATCGCCTGGAACTCAGGGTAGTCCATGTGCATAAGTGTCTTGCCGTGTAGGAGATTGTGCAGTTGCTTGTCGAGGTCGCCGGAAATGGCCTCCACGAGAGGAAGCGCTCGGCGGACGGGGTAGGGGCAAATGCGGAGCTTCTTGTTCATGTGGCTGAAGATGGCCTGTATCGCTTCCTGTACTGCTTGTAGTGAGGTCGAAGATAGCAGCTGGTCGAGAGGAAATTCGCGCATCAGCTGGTTGTACTTCTGGACCAGATCCGTGCTCTCCTTGAGTCCAGTATCTGCGCTGAAGCTGACCGTCGCTTGGAAACGCTTCGCATTCTTCAACACGTCCAGAGTGAGCCTAACACCGGGACTGCCCAGTTGAGTCTCAATGTCCTGCAGCCTTGACTCCATAGAGATCCAGAAGTTGATCTCTTGCGCTGCAGTCCCAGTTGATACATCTCGGGATGTCTTTGTGATTGTCTGTATCGACTTGATCCATCCGTTGACCGTCGACTGCAATCCGTTAAGGAAGCTGCTGTCTTGAACAATGCCAGGGGGAATGAGTTCTGGGGAGGGCTTCACGTTATGCTGGGCAGCATCGTCGAGCGCACTCTGGATGAGCGGGTGGAGAGGCAGAAGTAGTTCCGGAATCTCGACATTCTGCTCCAGATTGCCCAGACTGACGGCCAGTTCCGCAATCTTCTTCCGTGTCGCCGAAATACCCGTCCTCGCATCATTATCGCCCTTGCTGTATTTCCCTGCCAGGTCGCGCGTGCTCTTGGTGTAGGTGTCAAAGTACGGCTCGACCGCAGACTGAATGAGAGAACGAAGAAACTCATAGGGAGTGCCGTCGGGCGAAGAAGCGTTATTAGAAAGTATAAAACCGGGCAGCGTCTGTATAAGGACTTGCTGGCTAAGGGGTATCGCGGGGTCTATGGGTATCGGTCGCTTCGAAATAACAACAAATGCTGCGCAGGTAGGAGAAGCGGTAATCTCAGTCGAAATGGTGTAGGTGAAGCGCTGGGTCGCCCCTGCTGCTTGTGTCAGTCTGGAGGTTCCTTCCCCGTCAGAAGGGTACCTGCCGTTCGCTCCATCCAGGCCATCGATGCGGGCTTCATCGGCTCGGTCTTTCACAACGTAGAGCGCGGACTGCCCCTCGGAGGCGAAGCGGGCGCATCGTTGCAGCGTGTCCTGCAGCTTGGCGCTCGAGAGCAGACTACCGGGTGCAAAAAGATCTTCCTTGGAGGCGCCCAGACTGACGTCAAGTACCTTTTCCAGGTGGTCGACGATGAGCTGGGGGTCTATCGAGGGTGGCGAGGGGCTGGGTGTGCGTATGCTGCCGTTGGGCGCCCCTGGGTTCAAGGGTCCCTCCATGTTGATTGTTTATCGCGTGTGTCGCTATGAAGACATGTGGTTTGCGCTTCGAGCGGAGTAGCGACGGACGGAAGGCGGAGTGATTGCTGCTTCTGACAAGGGACTCGGTGCGCCGGCGGTGATGGTGGTGCCTTTGTCTCAGTATATTTCCTGAGTAGGCGTACGCGAAGTCGACGCGCACGGCCGTCACACGCTTATCCTGACTAGTGGGAGCGGCAGGGGAAGCGGAGTGATCAGCGTCTGATTGGCTCCTCAATTCGGGGTCATGCAGTGCAACACAAGGCGTGGATTCGTGGTAGCGGTCGGGAACGCGTTGTTTGCGGATGCTGTTGCAATGTTGGCTTTTTGCACGTCCAGCAGCCACTTCCTCCCACATAGGCAGCGGCGAATGGCGACAAGCAATGACAGCGCACCACGTGCAAAGTAAGCTAACGCTGGCTCCACTTTCTAGGCTAGCCCACCTGCTCCTTTCATCTCAGGTACGAAAGGCGGGCACCGGAGTTTCAGGACTGCAAACGGCGAGACTCTGGTTCGGGAATAAACGCTATCTATCTCTACTTCGGTCTTCCAGCTCCACATCCGTACTTCTTCTACCGTCTCCGGTATCATCGTCATCGTCGTCCCCCACCGCAAATGCTCCATCCCCTCTTTCATCATGGCCACTCCCCCGTCTCTCATCTCGCCCATCCCTGGCAGTCGCAGTGGTAGGACTTGCTAGCCTAACCTCTCCCACCTCCTCCAACCCAACCTTCCTTCTCCCCCAATTGACCACAGCCTTCCCCCAACCCGCCAGCTTCTCCATGCCCTCCTCGCCATTGCCTGCTCCACCACCATGTGCACCTCCTGCCTCAACTTTAAATTGGTATTTGAGACAATCCTTGATGGTAACGAGACCAGTCAGACGGCCGCGGTATTCGATCAATATCACGCGTGGGCCCATCTTCTTGAAGAGCTCCATGACCGTTTCGAGGGGAAGACGAGGGTGGACTGAGAGTGGCGTTGGATCGATGTAGCGGGTGAAGTCGAGTGATGTTTGAGACGAAGTAGTGGGTATAGAGTCAAATGTCGTGTTCGGTGCTGGTGGACCAGTGCCGCTTGCACTTCGGGACCCCGGGTTGCTAGTAGACGAGGATGAAGAGAAGTAGCACTTCGCATGACCTGGAGCCTGTTGCTCGATCTTCGCGCGATCGATCGCATAACGAAGTTCTGTGCGGCCGATATAACCGATTAGAGTCTTTGTCTTCATGTCTTCCACGATGGGGTAGCCTTGGTATGCGTTTTCGTTCATTAGACGTTCCATTTGTCGAAGTTCCATGCCTGAGGCCTGTAGACAGACTACGCGGCTGGCCATGACTTGACTGACTGGAACACCAAACGTATGTTCTTCTTTGCTGTCGAGGAACGGGTAGCCGTTCAAGTAAATCATGCGGTCTGCGATTCCGCCATGGCCGAAACGTTCACTGACCGCTTTCGTGACGCCGACGACTATCATAGTGGGAAGAATGTATGTCAATGCGCCAGTGATCTCGAACATGATGACCACGACGCTGACGGTGATATGCATGATGCCACTAAGTGCTGCTGCTGCGCCAAGGAAGGCGTAGGTGCCAGGCGTAATACACGGTCCATCTGGGTCGCAGGCCGAGAAAAAGGCTGAGCCGGGGAAAGACTCGTGTAAAGCCTGGACGCAGATGCCGACCATACGACCGAATGCTGCACCGATAGCCATACTAGGCACAAAGATACCAGCCGGCACTTTGCACCCGAACGAGATGACTACCAACAGCGTACGTAGCACTGTGGCAATAGCAAGTGTCGTGACATTGTGCCAGCGATGATTCGCGTCACAAAGCTGATCGTAGTCCTTGTCGCCCTCACACTCTTGAAACAGTATCTCCATACTCTCAGTCATATCAATCCTCAAGAACATGTTGGGGTAGCAAATCACGCCGGTGATGACAGCGAGAGTGACAGCTTCTGTGATGGGGTATGCAGAAAGGTACTTCTTGCGAAATACCTGCATCTTGAGGTTCCACTTGATGACGAAAGCGCCGTAGAGACCACCAAAGACACCAATGATGATATAGAAGAGGGTTTCGAAAAAGTGCCAGGAGCGGTCGTAGGAGACGTTGAACATGACGAGCTGACCGGTCCGGAAGGGGTTCATAGCCTGGCGCAAGTCAGCATAGAAGTCCAGTATCTCCCGTTGTTGTACTTACAGCGAGGACAGCTGTAGCTACCAGCGCACAGAAGTAACTCCTCCAGAGCGTCTTGAGAGGGAACTGATTGCTCATTTCCTCCAGGGAGAAAAGCACTCCTCCAATCGGACTTCCAAACGCCACGCCTACACCTGCCGCTGCGCTCGCACATAGTATCTCCCTGGTCTTGGCCGCATTCCTCCTGTACTTGTCGAAGAACCTACTGATCACATTGCCCGTGCAGACAGCGTAATGCACGCTAGGCCCTTCTTTTCCGACCGACAGCCCCGACGCAATAGCAAGCGGTAAGCCAATCGACTTGATGAAGAGTGTAGTAAAGCCCAAGAAGCCTTTCATGACGAACCCCGCAATGATGCACTTCATCTCCGATATCCCCGATCCAGCTGCATATGGCGCAAAGCTTTTGACCAGCCTGGCAGCCGTGAAGGAGAACAGCGCTGCGAAGAGTATGTAAAGTACATAGTTCACAGGCCAGAACCCACTCCAGCGCTTCCACTCAGGGCAACCTCCCTCAGCACCCCAACAGCAGAAACTCTCGTTGAGGTAGAAAGCCGTGGTGCAATGGCCCAGCTTGATATCGCTAAGCCACTCTGTCACGATATTCAGAAATGCTGCGTTGAGTCCTATCGCTGCGCCGACAAGCGTGACAACAATCCATGCTTGGCCCGCATCATATGCCTCTGCGATCTTCCTCCTCCACTTGCCCCGTCCCCGACCTAGGAACACTTTGCCCGTCCGCCCATCTTTTCGCACACCGATGTTGTCTCTTTCGCGCCGGCGCGCTTTCCGTCGGAGTTGTTCGCGGGCGGCGTCTTGTACCCAGTCTATAGTTGTAAAGTCCTCGTATCGCTTTATCTCGGCTATCTCTTCGACGATGGCCGCGTCGGCGTGTGTTGTTTCCGCGGCTTCGGGGTCGTCATTGTCGATGTCGAGTGATAATATCGATTGGCCCGTTGTGCGCCGTCGGAGAGAAGGCGCGAAGGATGTGGAGCGTGAAGTCTGGCTAGGGCGCGAGGATGGGCGGCGCGTGGAACTGGGACGGAGGGGTGTGGGTTGTTGCGAGGATTGGCGGGCGCGTGAGCCCGAGGATGAGGATCGATTCATCGCATCGTTCTAATTATTGGTAACTTCGCGTGGCAGAGCGTGAAGTATTTCGGTTTCGAGATTTGGCTGGGTTGCGTAACTGGGGAGCTATCTCATGCAAGGGTCCCTTCCGTCCCAGCTCCAGATCCACGTCTCGCCCTCGGGAGTCCGCCCATTGCACCGCCACACTCATCCCATACAAGGGAAAAACTGAACACCCTGGAGCCTACATGAAGATGAATACATGCAAAGTGGGTGACCCAACGTCAAAGTAGGCTCCCGGGGTACATAAGTAAATTCGGGGTATGTGCGTGGATCTGCACCGGACTCTTCCAAGGTTACTATGTTTTACGCATTTGACATTCATGACCTATCATGGACGAAAATTTATAACCTGAACCCACACTTTGCGGAGAAGCTCAAAGTTTCCAAGGGATGATTACATGATATTCTAGAGGCATTCATTGCGTTTGAAAATTACAATTCCCACCGTAGCACGTTAACCTAGGAAGAAAGGTAAACAGGCCTGCAGCCCACATCAACGTAGAAGCATGCAAAGTAGATGACCTCACGACGATGTAGGCTCTACACCTGTTCAGTTTTTCGACACTTCCGATAAAACGAGCTTCTTCATCACAACATCTTCCACGCATCGATTTGGCAGCACTTCGGTATCAAATTGAAAGGTTGTATTGTGCTTCATCTTGCGTCATACGGGGTATCAAATGCCTAAAAACCTTTTTGCTAAAATCATGTTTGCCGACTACATCTACTTTGCGCGCCCACCTATGCGCCCGCCAGACGGCATATCTACTCCATCTCGATAGTTCCCGGAGGCTTGCTGGTGACTAGGGTTGTTAGTAGTTGCCTCGCTCAGATGAAAAAATCGACTTACTGTCGTATACCACGCGGCAAACTCCGTTCACCTCATTCACGATCCTCCTGCTAACCCGCTTTAGGAACTCTCCATCGAAGGGGAACCAATCAGCCGTCATGAAATCACTCGTCTCAACTGCCCTCAGAGCAATAACCTGCTCGTGAACGCGCTTGTCACCCATGACACCCACGGCCCTAACGGGCATAAGCGCTGCAAACGCCTGGCTGATCTTGTTGTATAGGCCTGCAGCCCGGATCTCCTCGATGAAGATGTAGTCCGCTTCACGTGCAATACGAACTTGCTCGCGTGTGACCTCACCTAGGATGCGGATGGCGATTCCTGGGCCGGGGAAGGGGTGGCGCCAAACAAGATCCTCCGGAATACCAAGCTCTTTGCCCAGCGCGCGGACTTCGTCCTTGAACAACTCGCGGAGGGGCTCAATCACCTTGAGCTTCATGTCCTTTGGCAGACCACCGACGTTGTGGTGGGTCTTGATAGTTTGGGAAGGACCCTTGAAGGACAGCGACTCGATGACATCGGGGTACAGGGTACCCTGAAGAAGCCACTCGACCTCACCAGCGTTGGAAGATTCATGCGCTTCGGCCTTGATCTTATCGGCTTGCTTTTGGAAGACCTCGATGAAGGTGTTTCCAATGATCTTGCGCTTCTTTTCGGGGTCGTCGGTCACACCCTTCAGGCGGTCGAGGAAGAGATCGGATGCGTCGACGACGGTGAGGTTGATACCCAGGCCCTCATCGAGTGTCTTCTTGACCTGAACAGCCTCGTTGAGTCGGAGGACGCCGTTGTCGACCATGACGGCGTGGAAGCGGTCGCCGATAGCCTCCTTCATCAGCTTTGCAGCGACAGTCGAATCGACTCCACCGCTAACGGCACCGATGACCTGTCCCTTGTCGCCCACCAGCTTCCTGATGCGTGTGATCTCCTGGTCGACGAATTTGCTCATGGTCCAGTTGGTGTTGGCCTTGCAAATGTCGACAGCGAAGTTTTTGAGCACAACCTTGCCCTGCTTGGTGTGTGTGACTTCGGGGTGGAATTGGATACCGTAGTACTTCTTCGTCTTGTGCGCAATGCCCGCGAACGGCGCATTGGTGGTTGTCGCGACCGTCATGAAGTCCTGAGGCATGTTGCTCAGCTTGTCTCCGTGGCTCATCCAGACCTCCAGGTCGTTGCCCAAGTCCTTGAACAGCTGGTCCATGTGTCCGCCGTGGCTCTCAACCTTCAAGTTGGCGTGACCGTATTCCCTCTTCTCGCCAGCTACTACGCCGGCGTTCTTTCCGAAGTGCCATGCCATCTCTTGCAGTCCGTAGCAGATTCCGAGGATCGGTACGCCGAGATTGAAGACGGCGTGGTCGACGTGTGGAGCGCCTTCCTCGTAGACGGAGTATGGGCCACCAGAGAGAATGACTCCCTTGGGGGTGAAGGGCAGATCGGCGATCTTGGTAGTGCATGGCAGCATCTCACAGTAGACATTGAATTCGCGGAGACGGCGAGTGATCAGATGCGTGTACTGCGAGCCGAAGTCGAGCACCAGGATGGTGTCGAACGTCTTGTGGGGAGGGATCGGATCGGTGTGGTCGGTCGCCATCTTGAAGTACTAAGAGTGTGATGAAAGTGAAAAAGAGAGGGGATAGAAGGAAAGAAAGAAGAAGAAAGGAAAGGTACGGGTATATGAAAGCAGAAGGTACGAGGGGCTCGGTCACTGACTCTCACAAAGTTTTGGCGGGGTTTTCCAGAAAAATTCTTATCGATAACAGAAAAATGCTATCTCGTGCTTCATCGTCCATGGTAACGCGCAGGCAGCACAGACTGTCGCCTGGGCTCATATATCACTCTGATGTATACATTACCGAGAAATCGCGAGAAGAGGTCATATGAACCGCATTGTAGACGTCTAGCTTAAAATTTCCCCGCATGAGGTACAACTCAGGTGACGCAAGCATCCTTGTATAACCACTCTACGCGTATCGAAGAAGTCTCCAATTAGTTGATCATCGCCTATGGGTCGTAGTACGAACTCATGACAGCCTTGGAAGCGGAATGGCTCTGTGGCTGACCGTGCTTGTCCTGGGCCCCGCCCAAAATTTCATTTATCGATAACGGCGTAGTTGGATCGCGCAAAGTCGCGTCTATCCAGTGACCTCACCCACCCAGCTCCCTACCAATCGCATACCCACACAATGGCGAAACGAAAGTCAGAGAGAGATCCCGAAGAGTTGCCCGATGCGTCGGACAAGCGCAAGCAGAACGATGACGACGAGTCCGGCAGCGACGAGGTATGCGCCTTCCTCACAACCTCTCACAATGCGCCGTCTCACAAAATTGCTAGGACATGGACATGGTGAACGTCGACTTCGAATGGTTCGATCCGCAGCCCGCAGTCGATTTCCACGGGCTCAAGAACCTCTTGCGCCAACTTCTAGACGTGGATTCGCAATTGTTCAATCTCTCTGAACTCGCCGACATTATACTGTCGCAACCGCTACTTGGCAGTACAGTCAAGGTTGACGGCAATGAGACGGATCCATATGCCTTCCTTACTGTACTGAATTTGGAAACACACAAGGTACGGGCTACTCATGTACAGCTTTGCGGTACACACACTGACAGCAATCAGGACAAGAAAGTGATCCAAGACCTAACAACGTACCTGTCCAAAAAGTCCGCGCCGATTCCTACTCTCCCGCCCCTCCTAACACCGTCGTCGCCTGCGCAAATCGGCCTCATTCTGACCGAGCGCTTCATAAACATGCCGCACGAAATCGTCCCACCAATGTACACGATGCTTCTGGAAGAGATACAATGGGCGGTTGAGGAGAAGGAGCCTTACACATTCACTCACTACCTCGTCCTGTCGAAATGCTACTCGGAGATACAGAGTCAGTTGCCGAGCGAAGATGCGCCACCGAGCAAGAAGAAGAACAAGAAGGCCGATGTGGGTGAGGAGACGTTTTATTTCCATCCCGAGGATGAGGTGCTGCACAAGCATGCGGTGGGATACACAAGCTTTGAGTATGACACACCCGTAGATGAGGGTGCGAGTGATAGCAAGAGGGCGTTCCAGGAGTTGGGTGTCAAGCCCAAGGGACATATGGTGCTGATCGAGGCGGACAAGTTCAAGGGTGCTGTGGAGGCTGTCAAGATGTTCTTGAATGGGCAGTAAATACGCAATGCAAGATCAATTCACCAAATAATGCAACCAAAGAGACGGCGAAGGTTGACTCTAACTGGTGTTACATTGCAAGGGACACAAGCCGAATCTATGTGAATCAAACCGTAGGAAATTGATGCTCGCTCCTATACACACAAGTCGACATCACCGTCATCCACTCCACCCAAGAATTGTTCTGCTTAACCAATGACAACCTTGCCATCCTCGGGGAAGTCGTATGCGGGAATCTCCAGGTTGAGCGGGGCAGGTCCCTTTCTTATGCGGCCAGAGATATCGTAGTGGGATCCGTGGCAGGGGCAGAACCAGCCTCCAAAGTCACCGGCCTCGCCGATGGGGACACATCCCAGATGAGTGCAAACACCTAGTGCTGTTAGTCCTGGTTCATTGTAAGGATGTGTGTGGTGACATACCCAACATGATCAACCACTCAGGCTTCTGGACACGGTCGGAGTCGGGCTGGGGGTCACGGAGAGACTGCCACTTGGTGTCGTCGGCCTCCTTGATCTCGCCTTCGGTGCGGTGACGGATAAAGACGGGCTTGCCTCGCCACTTGATAATGACCTGCGCTTATCAGCTCCACTGCCCGGATATGTCATGTCGAATTGCGAAACGTACGTTCTTGCCCTCGGGGATGGCAGCGAGGTCAATTTCTACCTTGGCCTGGGCCAAAACATCGGCGGAGGCGGACATGTTGACAAGGAAGTCTGTTGGGCGGAGTCGTTAGCCGTCCGGTCTTCATCAATTCGCGACCCAGATCATCCTCAAAATAGCCAATTGCTCTTTCCCAGCTCCAAATATTCCATCTCCCTTGTTTCCAACGTTTTCCACCCCTCCGTCGAGCTATCGCAATGTTGGAGACCTACCCTGTACAGTCGCCTTCGCGCCAAGCGCACTCAGCGCACCCATGGTTCCGACCATGAAGTACTGGAAGACCTTGGGGCCGGTCTCGCCTCCCTTATTCCTGTATGCGGCGAACGAGGGGATCTTGGTCGAGTCCGGGCTGCCCTTGAAGGGGCTGTCGAACGAGGAAGCCGAGGCGTTGCGGGTCTGCAGAGCGGTGCAGCCGGCCGCCCGAGCGACGGGCATCTGGTGAGCGGTCCATGAGCGTGCAATGGCACGGGTTGTGTTGGCGAGGGCGGGCATCGTGGACGCGGGTGGGCGGGGGTCGTGGTCGTTGATGGGGAGGAGCTTAGGTCGGGAATGTTGAAGTTTTGGCGGTTTGGCAAGGAGCGTTATGTCAGGTGTCGTGTGATTGGCCCATCGCCCTTCCGCGCGACCTTCACCAGATTTGAGCTTCATCGGCGAGCATTACCATAGCACCGCACAGTGGCAGAGTCGATCTCGTACTCATCTTATTAATCAAAATCCTAACAGGCTGGAATTCAATACGTGAATTTCTGCTGCACAGCGAACAAAAGCGACATTTTAACGTCCATCTCGTAAGCCCGCGTTGTCCATATTTTGGTATCGAACCATCCAGTCTTCCTTCCTCGTTCAGCCAAATGATGCACGATAGTAGTCAAGACGGCAAGCGCTCTGGGTAAGCACCCTTGTTTGAATGTCTTGGCGACTGCCTGATTCCATGTGTGCCGCACGCAGCGTATCTCTCTTCGGACACGCGAAAGTCGTCTGGGAACAGTTGCTCCTCTCTCACTTCATTGTTGAATCCACTTTGTATCACTACAAGTGACCTCTCAAGAACAATAAAACACACATCATGCCCCCCAAAGACTCTACCATCACATCCTACTTTGGCCCTAAGATGGAATCTCGCGCCCCAACAAAAGCCAAGGAAGCCACCAAGAGGACGACTGGAAAAGCGACCATGACACCATCGCCTGAGCCACAAGATAAAAGCAAAGGCAAGAGGGCGCTATCAGGATCTCCGGCACCAATACCTGAGAAGCGACGAGACATAAAGCCGGCAGCCAAGCCCACAACATCGCGCCATCTCTCACACAAAGATGTCCCCTCGAACAAGCTCTCCCCATCCCCAAGCTCGTCTGATCTACCTACCCTGACTCTCACTTACCACGCTGGCGACATCTTCGACGCACCCCCACAAACCCTTCTAATCCACGCCTGTAACACTCAAGGTGTATGGGGATCAGGCATAGCCAAAGCCTTCAAAGACGACTATCCAAAAGCTCATGTCATCTACCGAGATTTCTGCACCAAAGAACACCTACTCAAATCCAGACCGGTACCCACCGGCACCGCCTTGCTTATCCCACCTGTGGATGTCGGGAAGCGGCATTGGATCGGGTGTCTGTTCACTAGTGCAAAGTATGGCAAGGGTAAGGATAAGTCGGATGTTATTGTCGAGAACACGAAGCCCGCTATGGAAATGCTGTTTGAGCTGGTGAAACTGGCGGGTAGGGTTGAGACGGTCAGGATGTGCAAGATCAACAGTGGGGCATTCGGGGTGAAATGGGAGAGGACGGAAGCCGAGCTGGAAGGCATTGTGGTTAGGGAGGGGTGGATGGGGAGTGTGGAAGTTTGGGAACCGGAGATGGGTTGAGAGACCAAAGGAAGCACGAAGTATGTGCATGTGATGCAAGTTAATCCACGTCGGATGTCCACTCGAGGAAAGTCTAATGTGAACAATCACTTGTACATTTGGCACTATTCTGGTTCAATCGCATACCTATAGACAATGAAGTCGTGATGCGACCGACCATCCAAACAGCTGAGCCCCATTCCCATGATATCTTTAGCAAACGCCTTTATGCAATGCAAAATGAATCCGCTTCCATACCGTTCTGTCCCTGCCTACAAAGACAAGAGCCAATTTACTTTTGACCATTGATCGCAGTAAATCCACCTGTTGACCGCCTAGCCTCTGGGCTCTTGCTTGCACTCGCAGTGGGTTGACGAGGGGGCCCGCGCATCTCCATCTCGATCTGCATAGCCGCTGCGTCCTCTTCTGGCTCGCTGTCTTCTACGCGCTCCACTTCTTGGTCGACGTCCATGGCATCAGGCGTCTCGTCTGGTATGGCTGGTGTAGGCGAGGTTGTTGAAGCGCCGTTGGTGGGTGTCTCTGTGTCCTTGTCCGCACCCTCTACCGTCTTGGAGGCACCATCCAGCGTCTTCTGTCCGTTCACCGCGCCATCCTTCTTCGCGTCCTTCTCCTTCTTCTTCGCGTCCTCCTTCTCCTTCTCATCCAACTTCTTCTTCACAGTGCCCCATGTGCTTGTCCTGGGCGCAACATCGACTAGAAACTCAAGGTTGTCTGTCTTCGATATCGCGCTGCTCACGTCGCGGTATTGTATGTTGCGGCGCGGCTTACGCTCCGCTTTGACGACATTGTGTGTGGTGGTTGCGAGGTGCTGGATGAACATTTCTGTGGCCAGTGCGATGGCAAAGGCGGCATTTTTGGAGGTCGTGATGCGTTCGGGGTCCGCTTGGATTATCTTCTGCACGCGTGCGACTGTGGAGTGAGTTAGCTTGATTGTCTGCTACGAGGAAAGACGGGAGTACTGGGGACATGAGGAATCGAAGACATTGCGCTCAACACAAGCGGAGGCGAACCAGTTGTTCGTTATGAGGCCACCACAGGCGCAAGTCGCAGCAGCACTACACCGTGATAGGGTGGTCTCTGAGAGGCACGCAAAGGGTGGAGTGACGACGAAGGTGGTGGAGAGAAGTGAAGATGTGTAAATTGTTACTTACGAGGAAGCGACACATGGCCGGTGATGTCCTTATTTGGCGCAATCGGAGTGTTGTTGTAGGGCATGGTGAAGGAAGACGTTGGTGGTCTGGTGAAATGGGCGCTGGATCGATGAGTCCTCCCAGCGTGCTGTTTGAGGCTAGTTGCGTGTCCAAAATATGAATAGCCAAGTATAACTGTGGGTAGTGCGAGTTGACACGTTCCAGTCGCGAAAATCGGCCAAGAGAGATGTGTAGTCGCGTGCAGTAGTCGTGTTGAAGATGTCGTGTACCCTGGTCGATGCAGGGCGATCGCCGCGGGCTGCTCCAGCCGAGGAGGGCGTCATTAGGCTGCTCCTCTTCGTCAGCAACCAGCCATCTTATCTTCCTGCTGCCTGCGTGATCCTCAGACGATAAATACCTGTGTGTGATATCTTCGTCCTGTCTTGACTTTATCAGTTGTATTCCGGTGTATTCATCTCGTCTCGAGTACCAATTATCAGCCCATCAGGGTACACCTGCCAACCATGAAGCTCTTCATTACTAGTCTGCTCGCCGCGACTGCAACAGCGTCCTTGTTCTCCCAAATCCCATTCCAGGAGAAGCCAGAAGTGGAAGGCTTCCAGGTCTACCAAAGTCCATTCTCCGAGCACCACTCTATTCGCATAAAGCATCAACAAAGCGACACTATCTGTGACGCGCGCTCCAAGCAATACACCGGCTGGTTAGACATCGGCTCAAAGCACATCTTCTTCTGGTACTTCGAATCACAGGACAAACCCTCCGAAGATCCGCTCCTGCTATGGCTAACAGGAGGACCGGGTGGCTCAGGCATGCTTGGGCTGATGGGCGAACTGGGACCTTGCACGATCAATGAGTTTGGCAACGGTACCGTACACAATGAATACGGATGGAGCAAGAATGCCAACATCATCTTTGTTGACCAGCCCGCTGGTGTGGGTTTCAGCTACGTCGATGAGGGCATCCCGCTTCCTGCGACAAGCTTCACGGCTGCTGAGGATATGCATCACTTCTTACAGCTGTTCACGAGCGAAGTCTTCCCGGATCTTTTGAATCGCGACTTTCATATCACAGGAGAAAGTTATGCTGTAAGCACATGTTGCTAACCCCGCAAGACACTCACTAATCGAAGATAGGGCCACTACGTTCCAACACTCGGCGCAGAAATTGTCACGAAGAACCTTGAATATCCTAAGCGTCCGCAAGTCAATCTCAAGTCGACCTTCACGGGCAACGCTTTTGTCTCACCTCGGGACACCAACTTTGGTTTCTGGGAAACGCTGTGCACTACGAACCCCGGTGTGGAGACTCCCGTATTCAACCAGACCCGTTGCGACATCATAGCTACCAACCTCCCTCGCTGTATGGCACTTATCGACGTGTGCTACAAGAACCCTGATCCAGCCATCTGTCTCGCAGCCGACAACGTATGCATGGAAGGCGTTGTGCTCCTTTACGATGGAGAGTCTGGAGCAGGAGGTCGCAACCGATTTGATATCACGGACGGGTGCGAGACGAAAGACGAGTTCTGCTACCCAGAGATCCAAAGGATTCAAGACTACATGAACGTGCCCAAGGTTTGGGAAGCGCTTGGCGTACCCAAAGCTATAGCCAACTACACAGGGTTCTCTTTTGATATTGCGTTGGCTTTTGAGCTTACTGGGGATCTGGTATTCAGCATGCAGCCTCAGGTTTTGTATCTTCTTGAGCATGGCATCGACGTGCTCTTCTATCAGGGTAATTTGGACCTTGCTTGCAACACCGCAGGGAACTTGCAGTGGGCTAGCACGATGCAGTGGAAAGGCCAACCTGCTTTTGTCGCACAGCCAAAGAGGTCCTGGGAACATGAGGGCAAGGAGGTGGGGTGGTTTAAAGAAGTCAAGACCGTGACTACAAGCGGCAGAGATACCACATTTGCGTTCGCTACGGTGAATGGAGCAGGCCATCTGGTACCGATGGACAAGCCGAAGGAAGCGCTGGCGCTTGTTGATAGATGGATCACAAAGAGGAGCTACGCGTAATTGTCGCGTGATGGATACATATTGTGTTCTGCGCAAGGCCGCACTTAGCCCAGCAAAGGATTCCGCGATCGCAATATCTAGGCATGCAATTTTCGTCAACCCCAGTACCACATCGGCTTCATGCATGTCATCAGGCTTCTTGCGTTTGGCGCCCGAAATATCCATGGGTTGGTGTTTGTTTTCCCCACCATGATGTAATTGCTACCAGCTACGTCATCATGGGTCCTAGCCTCTGCGCAAACTTCAGACCCTTAATAAAGAGGGGAGAAGACACTCTCACCCAACAACAGACACAATCAATTGCCACTTCCCACTTCAAACTACACTTTACAAACCTTCCACTTCTTCCCACTTCCACCAACACACACATACAACATGTCTGGAACTTCCAACGTCGGTAACAGTGCGGTCTACGAGGCCCAGGACCAGGTCACCAGGTCCAACGCCGAGATCGAGCAGGAGAAGAAGGAGGCCCGCTTCCACGAGGGCAAGGAGCACTCTCACAAGGCCCAGGACTCCAGTATGTTTCTGTCGGCCTCGCATGCGTTTTCCTTTATCGATATGCGGCGTCATCAGCCATCTCTTACAAGACCGTTTACTAACGATCACCCACAGAGGACGAGCGATCCATCGCCAACAAGCTCGAGCGCGAGGAGAAGCGTGAGAAGGAGGGCGAGGAGAAGTCTCTCGAGGACCGCCAGCGCGAGCAAGATGCCACCCTTCCCGCACGCGCACACGGCAACGAGCCCTCCAAGGGAGCCAAGATCGACCAGGAGCTGAGGGAAGAGGACGAGGCTATGCTCAAGAAGAAGGGCGCCAACTAAAGTCGTTGTGATGAATGACGATTTCGATACCCCGCACACATACTCAGCGTGTTAGGAGTTGGAGGAGGAAATAATGACTTGGATTGACGATAAAACGTCTCCATGAAGCCCGCCTGAGACATGGCAAAGGCATGAATCAAATAATTTCAACTCAACATGTATTGCCGACAGTGTGTGACTGTGAGATGGTTGAAGCCAGGTCCTCGTGCCTTGACGCGAGAGCTCTCCACATTGTCGTGCTTACCCCTCGGTGCCTGACTCGTGCAGCCTCGGAGATAGGCCGATGGCGACCTCATAACCGCTGCCTCCTGTCTCCCAATCCCCAATCGCCTGCCCCACGTCCTGCAAACATCAGTTGCTGCATTACAAAGCATTGCGGCGTACATGCCTAATCTCTCGTCATCTCGCCAATTCCTCCGCACTGCTACTGCCTTCGCCAAAGCTCCCTTACGGCCCCGCCTCGCACCTGGAAGCACCCAGCTATCGAACATCCTCCAACAACATACCGCAAACATGTCGACAAAGATGGCAGAGCGCCTAAAGGGGAAGACTATCGTCATCACCGGTGCTTCTTCTGGCATTGGCAAGTCCACAGCAATCGAATTCGCCCGGACACAGCCCGACGACCTCAAGCTTATCCTCACTGCGCGGCGAGAAGACACATTGAAAGAGGTCGCACAGGAAATTCAAGGCTTTGCAAAAGGCGTCAAGGTCCTACCAGTCAAACTTGACGTCAGCAAGCCGGACGAAGTCCAGAACTTTGTCGGAAATCTACCACAAGAGTACAAGGACATCGATGTGCTCGTCAACAACGCGTATGCCACCACCTCTTCAAATACCGCTTACTGTCTGCTAACAATGAATCTAGCGGCCTTGTAAAAGGTGTTGCGCAAGCTCCCGACATCTCACCCGCCGACATCGACACCATGTTCAGCACAAACGTGACCGGCCTAATCAACATGACGCAAGCCATCCTACCCATCTTCAAAGCGCGATCCACACCCTCCGGCGACATTATAAACATTGGTAGTATCGCAGGTCGCGAGCCCTACCAAGGCGGATCCATCTACTGCGCTACAAAGGCTGCTGTGCGCTCCTTCACAGATGCCATGCGCAAGGAGCTTATCGCTACACGGATACGCGTCATCGAGATTGATCCTGGACAAGTTGAGACAGAATTCAGTGTAGTCAGGTTTGGAGGCGACAAAGAGAAGGCGAAGAAGGTCTACGAGGGCGTTGAACCGCTGACACCGGAGGACATCGCGGAGGTTGTGGTATTCGCTGCGGGACGGAGGGAGAATGTGGTGTTGGCTGATAGTCTGATCTTCCCGAACCACCAGGTATGTACAACCGGAGGAACGAGACATAGTACACTAACGTTGTATAGGCGGCAGCGACAGTCATGCACCGGAAACCTACCGGTCAGTAGATGCGGCGATCGATGTGTACATAGCGACTACTTATCCGCAGTTCAGAGACGAAGCAAATATCCAGAATTGGACCTTCGTTATGAAAGACCTGTTTGCTGGCCACGACCTACCTCATGTTTCATGCTTGCGACTCCATCTCATCCCGTCTCCTCACAATGTCTCTCCCTTCTTAATTCTTGTCTCCACATTCACGCGGACTGTCTTCGAAACAGGTGAAAGATGAAAATATAGCTTGGGCCCTGCCCCGCCGTTGCTGTGGTGAGCGCTGGCAAAAGAGAGACCCGCTTCTGGATAACTCAAACGCTCACACAGTTTTTGTACACACCGACCCCATTTGTACCCCACTATAGTGGTGAGCGACCACGCCTTTCGTCCCACATCATCTCGACACTCAACTCAAGTAGCTGGCCATCATGCAAGCCGCGCGCGTTTGAGCGCCAGGTTTTCTACCACCACGGACGGAAGCACAGCAGTCAACCGACAGACGACATGGCGCGACTACGAGTTCCCGCATCGCCAGTTGAAACTCGTCGCGCGAATTATGCCTATGAAGGAGCCGGAAACAAGACGCCCAGCCGACCTAATCATTCAGGCCCACAGCCTGAGATCAATGTAGCCTTCGATTCGTCTGCCAATGATCCCCCTGAACATCCCACTTCCTTTCCGCGCATTGTAAGGAGCTTCGCGTTAATGGACGTGAAGACAAAGCGAGATGTACAAGGTTACATTGTCGGACAGTACAAGGCCATTAAGCAAATGGGCCACGAGCACATCACCGCGACTGGCACCAAAACAGTCTTCTTCCTTGGTCAAGCACAACAAGAGGAAGAGTTCGACTTATTAGACGAGGATATGAAGACCGACCTGGGCGAGTACATCAACGAGGATGAGGATGCGGATCGCTCATGGCGTGGGGTTTGCGACTTCATGCAGAAAATTCCGACCTCCAAGGCTGTGGCGCCGACAGAGTTCAAGGATAAGAACATTTTGGACACTGAGACACCTCATCAAGCCCGCTTGATGCGTGCCCAGAGTGCGCCCTCTCTGGCTCGATGTATCGCGAATGCTAGCTTTGACAGCGCCGGATCAGAGACAGACTCTGACTCAGAAGACGACGACATCGATCTTGAACTGAAAATCGAGAACGCACTCTCGTCCTTTGCTAAAAAGGTCGAGGAATTAGAGGATGTAGCAGGAGCGCTGTCAATCACGCCACCCGGCCGCACATATTCTGAAGCTCACCCATTTACACCATCGCCTCCCAAGGACATCGATATACCATACCCCTGTGGACCAAAGCACAACTCTCGACTTCGTCGTCATAGCGGTAACCGTTCACTCGCATCACTGATCGCTCACGTTGAGGATCACCGTACGCCTTCGTGCTCGTCACTTTCTGCTTCGCTTTCTTCGTGCCCACTACCTGCAGGTACCACCTACAGTGTTATCCGTAAGCCCTGCTACGACCCAAACTTTGAGGGTCACAGCCCTTGCGCCACGCATGATGAGGGAAGCTGCGGACTTTCAGCTGATGACGCTCTGGACATGCTACAAGAACGCTTTGGAATTGTACATTGCGCTACTGTTGGCACCGGCTTTGATTGTCGCGAATGGCTGGAATACGAGCTTGAGACCGGGTGCAGCATGGTACATGGCCCGTCGTTGCTACGATTTGGGACGAACTGTTATGGACCTGAAAAGCCCGGGCAGATCAAAGACGCGGGTGATAGCCCGTACGCTAATCAATCCGAAGCTACGGCTCGGATTCGCACTTCGTCTTCTAACGATACCCTGAATACCAAATCGTCCGTCCAAAATTCAGTGTTCTCAAAATGCACTTCGAGGACTTCCATTTCGTCTTACCGGACCAACCGTCCACAGTCTGCACGAACTGAACATTCTCGGCTTATGAGCGCACTTGGCCCAGACAACGATACTGGAAAGTGCGGACATGGCTATGAAATCTCTGCAAAGACAGGGTGCAATTCTTCTGTCGCAGGTATTGTTCCAAAAAGCGAACACTTTCAAGGTTGTGCAGGTGGCACTGTGCGGGGTGGGAAGGTTGCACTCGATCCACCTATCACCACTACCAAAGAATGGTCTAGTGGGCTGCAGACGTGGGAGGGTGAAAGCTGGCCCAACGCACCCGAGCGCATTGGAAACGACTTTGAAGACGCCCAGAACTCTATCACGAGGAATGAATCCGAGGACTGCGACGTAGAAGAGCTCTCACAGCTACGTGCGTCGCTGACGGAAACTACGGACAATGACGAACCCATGTGGCCTGAAGTCATCGCCAACCGCCCGTATACGGCTCCGCTTATGTACGAGGAAGCCGCCGATTTTATTGAACATGTCGCCACTAATCCGGATGTTGATTCCGAATGTTGGTCAGAACCCTTGGATGGTTGCGCGAAACCGCGTCGCAAGTGGACTAGCAAGATGAAGCATTGTCTCAAGAAAATACCCCAAAACACAAAGCAGGCTACCCACGACTATGTCAAAGCGACGAAACGATTCTCACGGACTGCTTGGCGCGTGTTGCCAGCTGCGCTGTCGAGCCGACATCCGTTCCAGAAGATCGACAGCATCCTCTAGATGGTCGGCTGGGGAACTGGATCTGCGTCGGAACTCTTTAGGTGATCCGACTGGTCTCACGGACCGTTCACGCTGCCTCCGCAATCCACCCAGAACGATGGTTCGGCGAGCGTTTGGGCCCACTTCAGACCGAACATATGTTGGGGACATGGTAGATGCGTTGGAATTGATTGGAAAGCCCCTGTGAAACGCTTTTCATTGGACGACACAGACATATTTTGTAGAGCATCTTTGCTTTTACTTGAATTCTCTTTTGGCGCGCTATGAAACCTCGATTCTAGATACCCACCTGCATGCATCAGTAGCATTTCCTGTATGAATATAAGCCCTGCCATGTGCCCTCATTGCACTTCAAGCATTTTGTGTGAATTCCAAAGTGTGGTCGTGAATGACTAAGTCCACGAGGAGTGAACCCTGGTTTGATCAAGGGTCATCCACTGTCGCGACGTCACCACACAACGCTCTCACTTGCCAAAATGTCTTCGGTTTCTCATTCTTTACACATTTCACTAATTAGCCCGCTCGTTGTTTCCCTCTTTACGAACGACTGCGCATCGACCACCACCGCGCACATTTCCAACGCCAAGACTGTGTAATAAAGCGGACTCTCACCATCGCACACCCACGAACAAATTTGCAACTGTCTAGTTTACGTCACTCTTTCCATCACATTATCGCGTAGTTCCAAACGCACTGCGATCTCGCCGGCCATTACTGAACTCGATCCGACAACGACCCTTCGGTTACCACTTACGATCACCAAACCAAAACAGTCACACAAGCAATCATGGCTTCCGACACAGTCACTAGTGTCAACCAGAAATTCAACTGGGCCGACGACGACGAGGACGAATTTGACTTGGATAGCTGGAATGCTACCGTCGACACCTCCGCGCCCACTGCCGCCGAGCTAGGCCCTCTCCAAGTCGCTCCCACTGGAGATGACACGAAGGAAGGCGAAGTCTACACGCTATCCCGCATCTCCAACGAGCGCGCCTATTTGGATCCTCCCGCCATCCAGGAGTCGTCAGACGCGGAGCCTACCCCGGAGGCAGAGGCAGAGCCAGTTGTTGAGCCGCCAGCTGAGCACTGGCATATCGCCGTACTTGGCTGCAGTCCAGAACATCAGGTCATGTCTGCGCGGTACAATCTTATCACGCACGCTATTGGTCCTTCCTATGAAGGTAAAGAAGAGTCCGACGTCCCAGCCTATCCAGAATTGAGTGAGTACCCGGGCCACCGGTCTTACTATGCGAGAGGGTTCCGGGACTGGAAGATGAAACATAGAGGTTTCTCGTCTAGAAGGGTCTATCGTAACTCACCCTTGAACATCGTCACTTCCATCGACAATGCGCACGAGATCGATGACATTGCCGACCCCGAAGAAGGGGCGGTAGAAGACGCCGATCGCGAGATGAACGAGGAGATTGATCGCATGATTGATGATCAAATCACCAACCACATTGACCAGTTCCAGTGGTTCTCCAGGACAGAACTTGAGAACTTTTACCACCAGTTTAAGGCTCAGGAGCAGAAAGCCGAGACTGGAGACGACGCTTCAGATGATGATGATAGCGATTCGGACGACGGCTGGGATGAAGAGGCTTACGAGCCATACAACGGTCCTGTTCACGACGAAGAGATGTCGCCGACAACCACTGCATCAGTGGAGGACAAAGAAACAACGTTCGCGATTACCCGCCCATTCGCCGACAAAGAAGAGGAGCTGGACTTCAACGACGTCGTATTTGGAGACGATGACGGGTGTGATCAGTCGCAGAGTCAGGATGAAACCGACTCTGAGTCCAGCGATGAGGGCTATGTTTCCTCTTCGCCACCAGACACTCCCTTTTTCGAAACCTTCAATAAAGCGGACAGCTTAGGGGCGCAAAACGCCTTCAATTCCATCAATGCGCGACTAAGCATGTCATCCAGGCGCCGCAAGACGCTTTGTCGGACGGAATCCATGGACGCGCTCAAAACGTTTAGACAAACTGCCAAGTTTGAGCAACGTGTCGACGACGCTTTTGAAGACGATGAAGACAAAAAGGACTTTGGGGATCTACAAGAAACCTTCGGCATCGATGATGAGCTAAATACATCATCGGATACCATGGAGAGCACAGACTTTGTCCTCGTCGTTACACCACCCGAAGATGAGCAAATCACGCAAGACTATCTTTCCAGCCCTGCGATACCTTTATCTTCAACAAGAGCCACTGTATCCGATTTGACTGAAGAGGATGATCAAGTCGCTTCTGTCAAAGACGAATCACGCGGTACCCTCGATTCAGCCTTCACTTTCCCTAGCATACCCGCTGGTGAAGCCTCCCTCCCAAAGGCAGAGATTTGTACCGCAGACACAGTAATCGACACTTCCAAAGCCTCCTCCCGGCGCTGGACCGATCCTCCAAAATACGACCCCACCCTTCCTTCAATTTCGCCATTGTCCAGTCGTCGGCATAAGAAGCATGCAAAGCATAGCTCTGTCTCACTGGACTATGTTGTCGGCGCCGTCTCAAAGAGCTGGCTCTACGTGGCCCAAGTGCCCTGGACGCAGATTGGTATAATGGGCGCTGGAGTAGTCGCCGGTGGATTATTAAGTATGGCGGGGCGTAACTGAGCGAGCCCGCTCTTCCTTTCTGTTTGTTCTTTTCTTTTCTTAAAATTTGGCTGCAAAGTTAGCGGAGGCGAAGTTATGCTGGCATTGCTGGTGGCGTTATATACCCGGTGTGTTGTTTACCCACAGAAAATATGTGTCTCTAAAAGTATAAAAGTTAAACATTAATCAAGAAAAGTCATCCCTATACTTCGAATGTACCGAAACGTGTGACCGCTACGACGATGTCACTATATGCAAGTACCAATGATAAAGTAGAAGTTCACTACTCAAGTCACAGTTAATATCCTTAACAAAGCGAATGTCATTTGAAAGCTGCTGTATCTACATCTGACTCACCGCCTTCAGAGCGACTACCCAGACATCTCAAGCATTACAAGCAAGCTTCCCCTTGCTTAAACGGGATGAGCGACCTTAGCCGTCAAAAGGCCCCTGATGTTCCCAACGAAGAAGCTCAAGATGAAGCAAGCACCGCCAAAAGCGATCGAGATCCAGTATGGCCACCTGTATGCCAACGCGAAAGCTTCTTGGGAAGCACGCAGGACAACAGGGAATGCATCTCTCTGCAGCACTTCCTGGTTGGTAGCAAAGATCTCCTTGACTTCCTCGAACCTAGCATTACCCATGAGGTTGGTAACGAGGGTGATGACGGCGATTCCGTCGGCCGAAAGAGGGTTGATGATGGCGCCATACGCTAATGTCTTCTCCGCGACAATTTCAGTGAGGTGGATGGTGACCTTGCGGAAGAAGAGGTTGGAGTAGACTGCGAAACCAATCGCACCACCGAGGTAGCGGATACTGAGTGTGATGGCTGTAATGGTTGCGATTTGTTCGTCCGGACAGGCGATCTGCGCGATGATGGAGGAAGGAATAATGACCCCACCGACTCCAATGGATGCTAGTGAGATGAGGGCATACACTACGTTCAGGTTGTCGGGTGTCGCAATGCACATAGCCCCTGTGCCGGCTGTCATCATGGCTGTGAAGAAGATCATCAATTCGCGGATGCGACCCTTGGTGGCGGGGATGAGAACGAGGCAGATGCATGCACCGCCAATGATGCCGAAGCCGATGGGAAGAGAGCGGATTCCGACGCCAACCGGGTCATCACCTAGACTTATGTTAGTATGTAAGAAGTGGGAGAGATATTCTTAGGTCATGCTTACCATAGACGTTGTAGATTTGAGTAGGCCAGAAGAGCAGCAGGACGAAGTAGTTGCCACCACTGAGGAATGTGATGAGAAGGATAACTATCATGGTCTGCTTCGCTTTGTGGAATATTGCCCTGGGAACCATGGGGTGTGGAGCATACACCTCCCATACGAAGAAGGCGATGATGAGAATGATACCGAGAACGAGAGGGACGATGTTGTGTGGGCTGCCCCATTCATACTGTAGAATGTCAGCACTGCAATGTGACCTGCTTCGGATAGTATACTGACCTGTGATGCACCCCATTGTAGACCCATCATAAAGAGAGTGATACCACATGTGCTCAAGATGCCACCAATGTAGTCGACCTGGCGGAGGACATGACGGGCGGTATACTCTTCTGTCAAGCGCGACGGGTCCTTGTAGCAGAAGACACAGAGTACCAACCCGATGAAGTTCCATACACAAACCAAAATACCATTGTAGCGCCAGTTGCTCTGTTGAGCGATCAATTGAGCCCACAACACTGATGGGCAGAAGGGAAGGATGGTGATTACGACAAGACCGACGTACTTGCCGCGATCTTTGATGGGCACGATCTCTGCTGTGCCGGCGAGTGCGATGAGCTCATTGAGACCGGCACCAATTCCCGAGAAGACCTGACCGGCTACGAGTCGTTAGGTTTGTGATGTTTCAAATAAGGTTGCGGTACTTACCGATAGCGATGTTCATGGTATGCGCAGTCACTGTGATGATCGGCCCGACTATGAGGCACAACTGACCCACAATAGCCACCTTCTGTCGCCCAAACAGGTCGGACAACGCGCCCACAAAAGGACAGAGAGCCGCATTGGGGATGAGGTATCCGATGACGAACCAAATGTATCGATCAACTCCACCAACATCCTGATAGATGAGCGGAAGAACTGAGCCGAAGAGGAAGAGCGGGATCTGAGAGCCGATCCAGAGGAATGACATGCACAGAAGCGTCATGGCCAGCCTTGCGTTCATCTAGGGGTGAATTAGTATATGATCAAGCATTCAGGGTCTTACACTCACCTTCTCGTGGACTTCTGGAGCTCTGCTGGTAATGGGCGCCAACTGCTGCTTCTCGGGCTCGCTAGGCGGGGTGCGAGTAGCCACCATCTCGAGTTGGCTCTGGCCATTCTTGTCGACTTCGTAAGAGTGGTCTCCGGATCTCATCGTCTCATGCATCTTGACGGTGCAA